CCCACTGAAACGATTCATACCACTAGAACGAGTGAACGGGAGCGTTGCCATGAAGGAACAATGGTAACATTGGGGATCGCCTCGGTCCGATTCAATGTTCTGCTACTCTATCAAGTAATGGTATCAAATGCTTTGACCTTAAGGAAGGCGAGACCTCTCGAGATGAGACAGAAGCGAGACAGACTTTTGAAAAAAAGGATTTTTCTCTTCGGCTAAGTTTCAATATGATGGCGGAAGTGGTGTAATGGCAGGTTGCACGATACCACACGTCCATGGTCCGCTGTTCGAATCCTCTATTAATGCTCTCCAAGGGCTATCCAGCTTTCTATACCTTAGTCGGTAAATAAGCGTGAGACTTCTCTTGAAAGACAAAAGCACTAACTTGAACATTGGCTGGACACCGCATTCAAGAGGTTACTATGATTTCGAATGGATGTCGAATGCGGGGCTGCATCCTGTATCCTGATTGATTCACTTCAAAAACTTTACCCTTAACACCAGTGTTTCAGAAGCCGGCTCCGTTGGCCTGTCGCTGATTGTCTGGACGGCGTCCGGAATTTTCACAGCAATCGGTGCTTATTGCTATGCTGAACTTGGTATGTTCTGTTCTTCTTCCAACGCTGAATTCTATTTTTTATCGGTTCATTTTATTGCTTTGTCTAAAACCACCCTCCTTACTAATTCAATTTTCAACAATTATTTTAGCTAGTTTTTCCCTCAGATTTCGAACCTTTTGCCTGCCTTTGAGTCTTGAAAACAATCTTAAAACTGTTAGAAAAACTTACGAAAACTGAGAAATCGAAGAACCGGCTAACTTCTTTCCTTGGAGTAAAGTTATGGCTGACCCCATACATGAGTACATTTACCACAACGGTATTGATTTACAATCAAATACTCGAACGGGTTTCCTCCCCACACTGCTGTTACCATGAGTTTCTAGGTGAAGTGTTATTTATAGGATATGAAATGCTCCAAAAGCAAAAAAATCCTGCCCATTTCAAAAGTCTTCCAGGGGGATGACACCGTTTTGTTTTTTATCACACTTTATTGACATAAACAAAGCCTTCACCAAAACGGCATGCCACTTCGCCCATGTTTCCAGAAAGAACTACAAGAGTGAAGTAGCCGTATAGGGTGGAACAAAGTCATTGGAAAATCTATAAGCTGTCAAGTGGGCTTTACGACGAGAGAATGACTTGGTCGCTTTTTCTATGTGCCCTTTTCATTTTCATGGTTGATCCGTGAGATGTCAGAATATTTCACGAAGTTTTTTCATTAAAAGTTTGATTTCTAGGAACACTTATTAAAAAGTCCGGAGGTGACTATGCATATATTATGGAAGCATTCGGTCCTTTCTTAGCATTCATTCGTTTATGGATTGAAGCGATTGTTGTCAGGTAAGATTATTTTTGAGTGAATGGAGCTCATTTACAAGCTTCGGGACCCTGTTGTTCGGTATCGTACTCAATCGACAGACCAAAGCATTAGCTTGAACTTTAGCATGCTCCCGCAAATTATTATCTAAACAGAAAACACATTTGCATGTACACACCCATGCGCATCCGGAATAAATTCGTGAGCGCATCTTAAACGAATTGGATCGGCGACAGGACGTCTAACTTCTCATGTTCTAGTAGAGACAGTGGCACTTACCATGGACTGGAGTTTTGGCCAGTGGCTTCTCTATTGCAGACGTGACCTATAAATGAAGCTTCGCAAAACGAAACGACCTTCATTCTCCAAAGAGAATGGAAAGATAGAACACTGAGCTCCACAGATTCTGGTTCTTCCAGTGCACCGAATAGATCGGAAGGCCTTCAAATATGGCTTCTATTCTGGAAATAAAGTTAGATGCGTAGGCATCACAAAGGGGATATGCTTCTGCTCAGCGCTTCTGAACCCTTCATTTGCCACTCTCTTCAGGGAACATGAGTTGTGGAAAACTTTTTTACCTGACCTATCGGAATCTCGACAATGGCAACAGAATTAATGGTATCAATTGATCAAACAGTGACTATCAAAGTTTTTCGTTGAAGTTCTCGGTTCCAGTGTACATTTTGTAACGATGAACCATTTATCTTCTACGATAGTGTATATGTATGACGTATCCACACTGCTTGTTCTCACGTAGTTGTAACCAAATTACAAGCAGAAGCAATTTTCCTTCTTGAAGTGTCAGCTATACTTATCGAAACAGTACAAGTGGAACTGTGTTACAGTATGGGAAAGCGGCACGATTGATTGCTCGATCATTGTTGGAACTAGACCGGAATGAGATTTTCAAAGAAAAAGTAATGAAAAGAAAAATCAATCGGTGCTGAACGATTTCGTTTTGTAAAATGTTCAAATAAATCGGCCATTCGTAATCGTAGGGGTTTTTCCAAGAGCTCTTGCCTTATATAAAGCGTATTTGTCTGCAAGAGATAGAGGCCCATAGATACTGTTATGAAGCCTGCGACTTCTTAACACCAGGGCTGTCACTACACCGCGCACGTATATATCAATGCACACTACCGTTTCCACCAATCACGCTGCGCGCCGTTAGTATCGATTGCCACGTGGCACTGAGCGCCGCGGAGTGTGCACACAGCACCTTGCCATTCTTCTCCATGTCGTAATACCGCTCGGTCGTCCCTTCTCTTCGCGCATGGTCATCGTCGCACGTCGTCGTCGTCAGCCGACTTCGTCTACAGGAGGGATCGCAGGCACCAGGGATATCGCAATGCCAGAACTGCACGGAAGGGGGAGAGGTTCAAAGATGCGAGGAGGATATCGGATGGGATGCGCTGCAAGCTGCCGCAGGGCAACTAAGTCCAACTGCAGCTCGAGGAGGATGCGAGCACCTAGGAAGCTCTAGGACAAACGGCGGAACTCAGGGCCGTGGGGACACACGCTACGTGCGGGGCACACGTCCGCGGACACAGTGCTCGTCTCCTTCCTCGAAGGGTGCGAGTGCCGATGTCCCTAGTGAAGCAGGAGCTCGCCCGAAGATTTCTTCTCGCACTTGCTTCTGTAAGAAGATAATTTTAATAGCATATAAGTGCCACAATATTCTCATAGCAGTGCCCTCTTCTCGCAGACTCTCGCTTTCACCGCGATTTGGGTGTGTTCCAAAAAGACCGCCTAGACGCGTGGCAAGGCGATAACATCAGCGCAGGCACAGCCATCACACCCTGCACACCCCATATTTCGCGACAGATACGGTAGGGTTAGTATATCCAGGATTTGGTCCCTAATGATAGCTATGTCAGTCAGGACATGATCGCCACCTTCGCAAACTGATGATCAGGCATATACTCATCCATTCAACCTGTGCTCTGAGACCTACTTTCAAGAAGAATATTTCAGGATCACGTTGAGAAATGAAGGCGTAATTGTGCTCAAAGCAGATGTGGGACAACTAATTCGTTTCCTCCTTGAGCGTATCCTCCCGAGTAGGCGTCATTTGATCGGAGTCGGAGGCCGTGGTTTCTAGAACAGCCTACTTTCCTACTGGTTCCCACATTTACCCCACAGATAAAAAACTTACAATAACTGAGGGGTCTAAGGGAATTTAGCGATGGGATGATGTACTGTTAATCACAAGCGCAAGCGACTGAGCACACAGAAAATGAGTCGGAATCAAAGGGCCATCGTTTATATAGTCACTTCATTGCCCAGCATCTGTTGTTTGTTGATATTCGCCAAATAGAAACTACTTTTTTTTTTACAAAAAAAGAGCACTTACTGGCCACCTAACCAACGGATCGCATTCCAGGCCATGTACTATAACAATTGTGGCGTTGACGTTTGCCATATATATTCTACGACCATTTTATCCTGAATGTGATCCACCAGATTTGGTACCGGAGACGCTTGCAGTACTTCTAATAGGTAATTTCCTCTCAGCATCTCATTATTTTTACTATATTCATATTTTTCTTTATTTCTCAAACTCGAAGGATGACTGCAGNGATTCTGGGTGATCGCGGCAAATTGCGCGGCGAAATTCGCGATGATTCAAACAACTCTGGCGTTTATCATTGGGGCACAAACTTGATGTAGAGTACTTAAGTAGGGTCGGACAATCCTACTAACCTACTTTACTTCAAATTTGGGCCCAAATAATAAAGTTGCAGTCGTCCAAATCGCACCGAAGTTCGCCGCGCAATTTGTTGCGCGCACCCAGAATCGCAACACACCCGTTCAAGGGAGATGATTCACTAAACTCTAGGGAGCCTCTGCAGAAGTGAATTTGATCATTCCATCTAACTTTGAAGAGCGCTTCAAAGTTAGATGGAATGATCAAATTCACTTCTCTAAAGATGTAAAATATGTAAAGTGGTCTATAATATATTGGAAGATCACTCTATTGATTTATTGATCGGAACCTTATCGATTTTCTCGTTTCAGTGCTGATGACTGCTATCAACTGCATGTCAGTGCGTGTTGCAACGTTCGTACAGGACTTCTTCACAATAGCAAAGGTGCTAGCCTTAGTATTGATTATCGGCACTGGAATGGTACTGCTGATGACAGGTACGGTATGATACGGTGCACCATCGAGGTATAATATGTCACCCACATTCTTTACAGGAAAGCCAGAATATCGCGAATCTTTCGACAATATTTTTGAAAACAACTCCAGAGACTTTTCTACCGTATCCATCGCATTCTACTCTGGTCTTTTCGCATATTCTGGATGGAATTTTTTGAATTTCATCGTTGAAGAGCTGCAAAATCCTAAAAGGTATCTATTAGTTAGTTAGTGACTACCAATTAGTTTGGTCTCCGCTCAGGGATGGATAAGTATGAGAGCACAAAAGAAGAATCATTTTCACTTTGCCTATCGACCAGCCGGATAGAAGGGACACAGCTCTTAGGTCCACGACGGAAATGACCGAATAATTGATAGAGTTATATCGTCTGTATCCGTGTTGGTTCAAAATATAAGTATTGACAGCTGACGAGGAAATACAGAATTTCCAAAGTAGAAAGGATTATAAGTCAAAGGGCTTAGCAGACAAAAACGGACTCCAGAGGTAAAGAACTAGCAGCAAGTGGCGCACATCATATACGCATGAACCGGGGCTCGAATCCGCTCAGTCAATAAAGCCTTTCACCCCTTCTGTATCGGTTAATCGGTACCAGACTCGCTGGAATGATAAAGGCACTGACTTGTTCTTCGGCTAATTACCGCACTTCACAGTGTAAACCACATACGCATTCAAAAACGCCACTACGATTCTGAATGCAATCAAATGCAGGGCGCATCCTAGACACGAGAGCGATCTACGTCAACGACTTGCCACTTTTATCGATGAATTAGTTTCGAAATATTAATTGCATTTTTAGGAATCTTCCATTGGCAATTGCAATTTCGATTTCAACATGTACAATCATCTATGTACTTACCAATGTCGCCCTCTACACTGCCATATCACCAGATGAAATGCTTGAAAGTCCAGCAGTAGCAGTGGTGAGTGGTAACTGTTGGTGTTTTTTTATAAATGTACGAATGTTTCCTGTCAGTGGGTCTTGAATGGAATGGTTTGGAATTTTTGAAAATAAAGCTAAAAAGGTCTGGTTTGGAAAGTCCCGACTGCTTTTTTCCGAGTTTCAATCTTTGACTGATTCCACTATTTTCTGCCACTGTACTATATGTTTTGAATTTCAAATATTTTTAAAATTGCAGTTATTCGCCAACAAATTATTTGGTCCATTCGCATTCTGTATGCCATTGTTCGTCGCCTGCTCAACCATCGGATCAGCTAACGGTGTTATTTTCACCTCATCAAGGTGATCATTCAGAAATTTACGTTCTCTACCATCATTCATTTGGGAACTCCAATAACTCAAATAATTCCCGCAAAAGTCAAAGATTTGGTTTGACCGAGGCCCTTTTCAAACAAGAGCAGTTCTTGTGGTATCGTCCAAGTCATCAAGTCGAATTTCAGGCTGTTCTACGTAGGAGCTCGAGAGGGTCAGATGCCTCAAGTACTGACAATGATCAACAAGACCACTCGAACGCCCATTCCAGCAGTGATAGTGACTGTGAGTTTATCTGATCATGTTTGTTTACTGATAATGGAATAATTCCGCAGTATAAATTCACAAGGGCTGAGGACGTTTTTCCTTAATAGTGGGCGGGGCTTCCGGAGAGGCGGAGTTCCACTCGCTAATCCTGTAACATTTGCTTTACAGGGAGGTCTGGCTGTCGCCTATCTGGTTCTGTCGAAGAACGTCTACTCACTGATTAATTACATTCAAATCACTTATTGGTTGGCCATCGCTGCTGCCATGGCTGCATTGTTCTGGTTACGGAAAACCATGCCCGATGCTGAGAGACCTATTAAGGTAGAGCAATTCCCAAAAATAAAAAAGTGTAGTGTCATCCAATGTGCGTGGCGTATCTACACACCATTTATCTCCCCTTCTCTAAATTCAGGTCTCACTTATATGGCCAGCAATATTCTTAGCCGGTTGCGCTGCTTTGGTGGTAATACCAATTATGGCTGCTCCAAAAGATACCGGTAATGTTTATATCTTTTCTATTTTCCAATACCCATACAGCTCGAACAACAACCCGCGAACGCTATTCTTAAGTCTTCTTTTCCAAAGTTAATTATCGATTTTACGCTCAGGCACTCTGCATTGTGATTTTGGAAAGCTCCAGGGATCTAGCGTAGTTATCATGAACTGTGCTAGTGTAATGATAAAATGAGCCTCATAAAACTATCCGTGCCAACCTGCAAATCTGGCAGCCATCTGGTACAGATGCGGCTGGCAGCAAATATAATAGTTCAAAATAGCTCATAACCAATGTGACGTCCCACATATAGGGTTTTTAATCCTGGAATTGCCCTAAGACTTTCGTTCCACGATATAGGGGTGGAAACATGCTCACCGCATTTGATTGCGTGCTGCGAAGGGAAACATTTGAATCCCCGTTGGAAGAATGTGGTAGTTGCCGCAGAGGCACTGCAGCGGCGACTACCGTATTCTTCCACTGGGAATTCAGGAAGAAGTACTGCCATCCGTAATATAGTCGCATTTTTCGTTGACAAATTTTGAACTTACAGCAATCGGTTTGATGATTATGTTGTCTGCTGTACCAGTTTACCTCGTCTTCATCGCATGGAAGAACAAGCCGAAATTTGTCGACAGTTTGACAGGTTCATCATTTCATTTGCTTGCAATTGATAACCCCCCATCACCAAATATCACAAACCTAAGATTATACTATTATGGAGGTCCTTGTGAGTCTCGTCCAACCTGGGAGTAAAAGTCATCTGATGATATCAGGATGGACTACTCGTTTTTTGAAGGCCTCAACTGTCCAAGTTTGCCGCTATCTCATCTTGTGAACTCACAGAGGTTTGGTGACGATATAGTCCTATGTCGTAAGGTTCTGAAAAAATCTAGCCCGGTCAGAACGTCAAAATTAGGTCTGCCATCAAATATTTCCCCATGATTTGAATAGACTACCTTTGCGCGTAGTCGAGTATTTGGGCACAGAAGTCAGCTTAACGTTCTAGCCTAAAGACCTGTTCTATGCTCTTCATTGTTCCCGTAGACTTAGGCGTAGACTTGAGGCTATTAGCACAGTTTTTGTTTGGGCGAGCGGTCCCTTTACAGAAGAGCAATGCGTTTGGGAATTACCTTAAATACAAACATACCATTTTTGGGTTTACCTCCATAAGTCTGATACACCAGTCGGATGTATTTGATGACCCACGTTGCGACCCAGGTTAAATTTCAGCTGAACCGGAAAAAGCTGGGGACATTGATTACGAGAAAAAGACGGAATTCTGAAGAATTTTGAACCCCCTACTAGCAAACTCACGCTCCTGTACAGGTTAAGGTGGTAGGGGTTACTTACTGTGTACTTTGGTCCACACGTACAAAACCATTTTCAATAAACCCTAGCTCTATTGTTCAACTATTTTCCTGCCCCTTGTTGACAACTTATTATTTCTTTGAGTATTTTACAACTGTGTTTTAGAGTCGTTCACGGTTGCCATACAGAAATTGTTTATGGTCGTCGACGACACCACTAAGGAGGACTAGATATCAAACTTGCGAATTAATCAATATGCATCGATTCCATAGTTTACAGACTTTGCATAAATTTTCTTTCCTTTCTTTTTCACTTACTAATGTCTCACCCTTTTTCCGTTTTTTGTTTGCCTCACTACATGTTGGTATCGAAGATTGTGATCACTTTGGTGAACTTTCAATGCATCTTCATCGATTTCCTAATCACAGCCGAATTTTAATTGTAATTATTGATTGATGTTGATATGCTTTAAAAAATAAAAGATGTGACTTAACAATGTTAATGTTTATCGGGAGGATGATGGATGGTCAATCATGTGAAGACATCGAATTGCTCCAAAAAGTGTTTGATGAGCATGTGTAGGGGTCAAATGATACCGTCCCTCCATATGCCATTTTATGAATAGGAATGCTGTGCGTCTCTCTTTTTTCTTCAACGCATTAATTTTTGCCTGAAGCATCGCCTATGGGTTCTGATAGCATCAAGACAGCGAAATCAAGTGAAACTGTACAGAAAAAGGGTAATTACAAAGCAGAGAAATTGTTAAGAATCAGACTCCTCGATGGAGATTTCGGACTCAACATGAAGAGGTTTTGGAAAAAAGAGGTTGGGTGTGGTGCATTAGGAACGAAATGGTCGCGTCGCGGTGAGAGGGGCGTCGTGCGCGAAGGAATGTAGCAGGATGCAGCAGTAGGTAAGAAATCCAAGATCAAAAGTACTAATAGTAGAATTATGCATAAAATAATGATCGCATATCGATTGAGCTGTATGAAGAACGCTAGAGCAATAACGGCGAGTGAGTGGTCCGCGACAGCCGTGTGCGGCGAATCGATTAGCCAAAATCGTTCCTAACGCCCTTCTCCCGGTTGGGACGAGTTTCCCACACTGCTGGCTATGGGCCGTTTCAGAGTAAAGCGTTGAGCGCTCACGGCCTGCGTTACCGTCCGCGCGCGCAAACGCTCTACTCTGAAAGATGCCAGCGGTCGCGGAATGGCCGGAAAGGTTTCCGCTGCTGAGTACTCGTCTACCTAACAATTGTCGGCTAATTCGTATACCTCAATAATTCAAATTTTAATCCTAGCAGAGGTAGGAGCGATCCATACTACTTTATGGAGCAGATTAATAAGATATTAAATGGCAATGGAATGAAATCATTAGATTCTTTGAAATCGAATGCTTTCATTTCATGTAGAATTCAAGAGATTGAGACATGTAGAATTTGTTTTAATTCCTTTTTTCATAGTCATGTTATTTTCCTCATTTCACATGTTTGCAACATGTCCGTTAAATAAATAAATAAATAAGAGCAAAATTTCAGTCTGAAAAGAAAGCCACACTACCTCTCGGGAAGTCCTTTGGAAAAAAAANGAGCAGATTAATAAGATATTAAATGGCAATGGAATGAAATCATTAGATTCTTTGAAATCGAATGCTTTCATTTCATGTAGAATTCAAGAGCAAAATTTCAGTCTGAAAAGAAAGCCACACTACCTCTCGGGAAGTCCTTTGGAAAAAAAAAGCGCTCAAGCGGAAGTGGAGTCATCACGCTGCCTGCATGTCTGCCTCTCGACAGATAATCTAATCTCCTGAAATCTTGAATAATCCAAAGTACCTCGCTTCGTAGGAGCCCATTCCCAGCTCCGCATTCCATTTGCTATATTCACACCTATTTTTTATCAGAGCGAAATCTCAAGGAAGTACTTACTTTACGGTGGGAGCCCTCACCTTTACTCCTCCATGAAAAAAGTTCTCAACCATCGAAATAACAAAAGCGACCGATCATGAGTGCCATTAGTGGCTGCACCATCGCACCTTTTCCTCTGAGAGGCAGTCTTAAAAAGGATATATCCCATTCACTAGCTTAAAGAGAAACCTTATACAAATTTGAGGGGGCGTCCGGTCAACAACCCCACCCTCGACCAAACTACACGCCGTATTTCGATGGAAACTCGTCCATATCGTATTGATCACTGCAGGACCAAAACGTCTTACACGAGTTCGCGCAAAAGACATTCCTTTATTAATGATTCATATAATTATTCTTTGTATGCTTAACTATTCCATCCATAAAAATAAACACTTGAAGACTGAAAGGGATCAATAACACCCCAAATAAAACTTTAAAATAAAAAAACTGGTTTGCAATTGCATTGACGGGTAAGCAACAGGGGGTGAAGGTTTTTTTTTGGTAAACGGTGATGAAGCCGGTCTGTTGCCAACAGGCCTCGATTACCGTATCCTTACTGAATTCAATGTACTCGAACGCCGTACCGTTGCTATCACTTATTACTTACCTATTTCTATGATTATTACTCGGGTTTGGTTGGTCTTCTACTTAATACCATGGCTGTCATTAGTTTTTGCCAAACTAAGCCCCTATCCAAAGTTGCTATTGATTTCATTCGATGGATTTCGTTACGATCTACTTAACGCTACTTGGGTAAGTACGATGAATAAACTTTGTGTGATTTGCTTTTTCTATTTGTTATTTTTTGGCTTAATAGCCGCATTGCTGATTTTGAGCATAAAAATTCCTTAGGTTGCTGGAAATTGACTTTTAACAATTGGTGAAGGCTTAATCTAATTAATTAACCCCTCAAAGTATTAGCCTAGAGGTTCTCTGCTTGGTCTTAGGCAAGGCTAATTACGCCTATTTTTGGTAAAAGCTATGTAGTTTCACAGTGATGAAGTAGAATTCTTTTCATGGAAAGTTTCAGGATTGCTGCGAAAATCAAGTGAGGTCAGGTTTTTGTTAGAGAGGTAAATTGTTTTTGTGGGGCTCGAGCTTGTTTTTCGTTAGCTGCTCTTGAATTCAATTATAATTACTTTGCAAAGTAACCCCAATCTTGTAAACCTATTAGAATCAGCCTGTTTCGATTGAGTCAGACAGGTTCTATCATATTGTTGACAAGCTTCACAGAGGCTCTGTTATTCAATTAGCCTATACTTTTACGAATTGTGAGCTTGAGGGCTGGCACACAGCTTTGTTTCCTCAAGAACTATATCGCAGAAGTTTGACTGGAGCGAAACCCTGAGGAAAAGTGTCGCCAAGGGCTATCAGCGCTATAGAATGTTTTCTTTTATTATTAGCACAGCGGGTAGCTCTTATTCCATTACTGACAGTATTTTTCAGACACCTAACATTTACGAATGGGCCAACCGATCTTCATGGTTTGTGAACGGTGTCAGATCTCAATATGTTACTTATACAGCACCCAATCATATGAGCATTGTAACTGGTTAGTCATTTGATTTCAATCTGATTTACATTATTTTCAACTTTTTCTCTCAAAGCGACGTCTGAATCAGCAATGTAGTTTTCGATATTGTGTCGCAACTAATGTAGCTTATAATGGTCCTTAAATTCTTGAAAAGTTTTAAATTGTAATTTGAATGGTAGCAACATTTACAGGGCCAAAGTTTAGAGGGATTTATCAAATCGTATTTGATTCCTGTGCATGCAGTATCAAATTTTATACATAAACTCCAGGACCTTGCGGTGTTGCGTAGAACAATTTGATATTTTGAAAGGTGCTCACAGTGAGTATCGCATCAAAAATGATTTTCGTTGGCGAAATGCAGATTCAGACTTGAAGTTGCTTTAGCAATTTCGTGACAAGTCCGCTTTTGCGCCTTATAAAGGATGCGTAGGGGATTAGGTCGTTCTATGAGGCATGCTTGCTCAATGGAATCCTCTCTACAGATTGAACTTTGATGACATTTGCGGTAGTACACTTACTACTAACTGTGTCATGTTTGGAAAAGCAGTTGCCATTGCTAACCCTGTTTCTTACCTTCTTTAGGGATGCATGAGCAAGATCATGGTATCGTCTCTAATTACTTTTACGACACCGCTACTGGAAAATTGTAAGATTGCTTTGACTTATACTCGCGTATCCAAACTGCTATTACGATTTCTTTTCAGTTTTGATTATTTCAATAGCACTCAGCAAGAAGGTGTGGTCAATGCGTCGTTGGACATGTCCTGGTACAAAGGCGACCCTGTTTGGCTGGCCAATGAAAGGTGAATTTGTTGGTATTTTACCACCGAACTGCTAAAACAAAAGTTAAGGGGAGAAAAGCGAAGCCTCGAATTGCAAGATCGTGAGGTCTTGATGTTTGTGGAGCATTACTTATTCTGGTGTAGATTTTCGGAAACCTTTGAAATTGAAGAAAAAATACATGACCTAGGTTTATGTCACGTTATTAGCTGGTCATGTGGAGGGATAAAATATGGTATCGGTCATCTGCCTTTTTCAGATTCGAGGCTTCCCGTCGATCGGCCACGTTTTACTGGCCGAATGGAGAGGCCCCTTTCCCAAAACCGCCTCACAGACCTTCAATTTACAGGTACTTAGTAGTATTTATTTGTGATTCCGTTATCCCATAGAATCTTTATTTCACAAGTGTTCGATTGTAGGCAATGGAAAGATTATCGCAATCTCAGCCAATGGATGGCCGACCTTGATGACATCGTCGAGTTGTTCACCGATGAGAACAATCCTATAAATTTCCTTGCTTGGTAAGTATTTGAAGACAGCATGGACGCCTTCTTTGATTTTGGATCTTTGAAGGTACATAGCCGAGCCAGACCACACTCTTCATAAGAATGGTTTTTATAATGGCGAACTACTGAAGAAAATCCATGAACTCGATCAACTGTTCGGGTACTTTGTTGCCAAACTGAAAGACTCCGGACTAGAAAATGTCTTGAACGTGATATTGACGGCTGACCATGGCCACGCTGAGGTGATCCATTGAAGTTACAGATATTTCTTAATGTTCTCATTATTTCAGTGATTTATTTTTCTCAGGTACAAGGTGCTCAGAATGTAATGTGTCTACGTGAATATATATCAAGCGAAGGCTATAAACTAGGAGATCATATGGTGTATCCGGATAATGAAGAAGTAGCTCTTGAACTTTATCATAATCTTACTTCCGCCGTCAAGGAGATGGGTTACAAGGTGAAGATCTATTTGAAAGAGGTGAGTTCTCCTCTGTAACTCCTTTTGCATCGCTACAAAGGTCATTTCGCATAATATTTCGTAACACTTCATTATTCGATATGGTTCAGTATGAAAATACCAGCGGTCGAATAAGCATCTCAGTAATTGAAGTAGGATCAGATCTATGAAAAAAGAATTTGCAAGGATGAAGCTGTCGAGTGCTGTTTTATAGTATGTAGTAATTCCTTTTTTTTATTCAGGATGTCCCTGCAAAATTTTTCTACCAAAATTCGACAAGGATTGGTCGTATTGTGATCGAGCCGGAGGTTGGATGGGCAGCATCTTTTTCTAAATCATGCACGCGACAAAGATTGTTGAAGTTAGTTATTTTTCTTCTGCGCCTGACAGGGATTCCTGAATAAATTATTTGTCGCCTTAGGACGTATGCGCCGGGAAACGTGAAGTTCAACTCATCATCCCATGGCATGGATCCCGATCGATGGGAGATGCGTGCACTGTTGGTGATGGGTGGACCATCGTTGATACCAGGGAAAAAGGTCGGAGCATTTGCTTGAATGTTTTCAATCTTGTCAGATCTCCACACGTTTTTAGATCACAGACATCCCTAATAATATCGATCTTTACTCATTAATGTGTTACTTGTTGGCCATTGAAGCATCTCCGAGTGACTCAACAATGTCTGTGGTTTCTCAAGCACTTCTAGTCAAAGCCACCGATATTCCCTCACTCAACTCCTCTTTTTCGGTGGGTCTCTATTGATTTTCCCTAATAGTTCATAAAAAATGAGTTTCCACTATTTTAGGAGTCTCTTGCCTTCACTTTCTTAATTATCCCCTCGGCGTGTATTGTGGTGCTATTCATGGTTTACGTCTGTAAACATACCGTTTTGAACGAGAACCCAAATTGGATGTGGCGACAAGGAGAGTACCGTCCACTGCATATGGATATTTTTGATGCGGAGCGAGTGGGTTTTTAGCCACTCTTTTTTAATTGACAAATCAAATTGAAGGGTAGTGGTCAGTTCGATCATTTCGTTCAATTCAGTTTTATCTATCCTTGGAGTGGTGGGGATATTGAGGGCTTCTTATGTCTATCTGCTTACCTTTCATTGCATACTTTTTTGCTGTGAAGTAGAATAACTTCTGGTAATACTCTTGACATGCATTAGCATACGACTTCCAACCAGATTTGTGACAGCACTTGGATGATTGTTCAGTCGTTCGGTACTCATAAATTCTTAAGAGGGTGAATTGTTAAGATGAGGATTGCGTGAGGCAAGCGAAACACTTGTGTAATCAATCCCATGAGTGACTCACTATTAGCTAGGCATATGGTGGAATCCGGAATATATGGCGTTTAGTCAGCCTTATGAGGACTGATACTTAGGTGATCAAAACTAGGCCAGAACTATTTTCGGGCAGTTATGATAGCAGCGTTTCTTTCTCCTACCCCTCAGTAGCTCTGATGAAGTAAGTCGTTGAGATTCGATCTTGAGGTTTGTGCGAACGATATGCCACAAGATAAACAATGATTCCTTTGTGCGTCTTGATATCTGTCGTAAAATTCTTCACTTCAGGGACGGCCTACTCTCCGCTCCGATCGCTCCGATCTAGACAAAAAAGCACTAACTAGGGACGAGTCCAGTGAGGATGAGTTTTGAGGCTTCATCCTCCATAATATGGGTTTATATATCGGGCACTTTATTCTATCGAACAGCTATTCGCGTTACCGATTCTGACTTGCACCTTGTATATTATGTGTAATATGTGTAATTGTTGGTGCAATTTAGACTTTTTGGTCTACTAAATAACTTACGGAGAGTTTTGATAGCACGTTTATGTGTTCGTCAGTTTCTGTGATCTTACTCATAGTGATTCTGGATTAATATCAATCATACCAGCTATTAGATACTGATCATCATCGCTATTCAGCCTTTGTATAGGTACTCGTATCGCATTATGAATCTATTCCTGCAACGGTGATTTGCGAATTGATAAGGCAGGTATTGTATGCCCACTTAGGCGTATATTTAATAAACATTTCCCCTTGTATGTGAGTGTTTAAAGTTTGAATCCGATGGCTTTTCTTAGCAAATTATTTTTGACACAGATAATATGCTATGTTGTTAACTGACGAAATCATTTCCGATGTCGTTGTTGCCGAAATCAACGACTGAATTTACTGATCCAAAATATTGGAAGAATTTCTTTGCAACGCGCAAAGCGCCTTTCGAATGGTAGTCTTTTGAACTATTTTTGTTGTCTAGTTGTTACTTTCATGGAATGGTTTAGGTACGGTGATTATGGTGTATTAGGTTCTGTTTTGGAAAAATATCTTAAAACAACTGACAAGGTTCTTCAAATTGGTTGTGGTAATTCACAACTGGCCGCACAGGTATCGTTTTTTTTTTGTTAGAAGAAATCCTCGTATTCAGCGAAGTCAATTTTGCTCTTGATTTCAACTTGAATTTGAGTAGGAGTGGCGCGATCTGCTAACTTAGTATGGGCACTCGTACAAGCACCTGGGTTATTCTTGCCAAATTTCTTCAATTTGTCGTTTTTTTGAGAATAACCATTAGATGGCAATAGTTTTTAATCTTTTTGATCGTGGATTTTCCCCAACGCCGCGCGACCGCACGCGTCTGCTCTTGTGGATCCTACTTCCTCGAAAATTCAATTCTATTGCCGGCGTTTTTCATTTAGATGTATGACAACGGCTTTCGCAATGTTCATAGTATAGATACCGATACTTCTGTGATAGAGGAACAACGGTTAAGAAATCGTGAACGTTCAGAACTACATTTTTCGAAGGAGGACGCAACTTCGGTCGGTATCTCGCTCCTGCGTTGTTCTATTCCTTTGGAGAACTAATGCTGTTCAGATGTCGTTTGCTGATGAAGATTTTTCTGTAGTGGTAGACAAGGGAACGTTAGATGCTCTACTTCCTCCAGAGGCTTCTGAACAACAGCTAGATTGTGTAGATAAGATGTTTCGCGAAGTTCAACGGGTGCTCAAAGTAGGTGAGCTAAGTTATCAGTAGTAGTTCTCATTTTGATAGTGCAATAGTAGCCAGAGTGAGAAAGAGCTCATTCCTTGTTCAGCAGTTTAGAGATATTGGTGTTTACCACCCTGTTGATCTCTTTTATTTACTCTATGTATTTCGATGGTTCATTTGGTTTTTCACCAGATCGTTTGTTTTGCTCGTAGATCCATGCCATAATGTCTAGAAGGCTGGAAACAGCCTCATTTACAACTGAATAGGCGATTGAGTCTTCGCTATTATAGCTGGCCGCTACTTGATTGTTACGCTTGCCCAACATCATATCGTCAAACACTTTATGGAGCACTTCTTAAGCAAGTCAGTTCTCTAAAATTTACCATGCAGTATTCTGTGATATGATTGAAGGCATGGTCAAATTTGAGCAGGGTTCGATGATTTTTTTAGGCAGCAGTTTCTTCTGCGAGTACATGAGTTAGAGAATAGTGCTTCGGGTTTTCCAATGCCCATATTTATACTTGTAGCAACTAAGCTTCGAAATGTGACGCCAATGTCTATGGTAGGTTACTAGAAATTTTTTTCGGTTTTGTTGACAATTCACTGTTATCTTTAGGTTTCTCTGAGAACTTCGAACTGATACTCTTGCTAGTTCTTGACTGTACTCTCTGAAATATGTACTTATCTAAATATCTCAGATCTCGAACCCATCCTCTGTGGATTGTATCAAATTCGAGATCCATTGTATATTGTTACGTCCTCTCATAAGTTCAGCCCTTCGTGTGCTACTTTGAAATACTCCTCTTCTATACACCCTTCTCGAACGCTGCAGTAGAGAGGAACTAGTTAACAAAATCTTACCATTAGTATAAACCTGGAGGACGTGGCGGAATCTTCTGGATTTTCATCTCTGACATTTTATCGGCTATGATTTATTGTCTTCAGCCAATCGAATTGTGCCGTGCTGGAAGCGATCGTTTCGAGAAATTGGCTCACTTGCATGATGTGCTTTCAGTAATAGCTTCCGAGCAAGAACTGAGCCAATTCGTCCATATGTGCTCAAGGTCCTTTCCTTCAAATTCTCTAGTTTTCGGTTCGTGATCATAAATCCTGCATCTGTGCTCTTCTATCATGTTCTTTCAGAAAATTGGACCACGAGGCTTCGATAAGCATCGAAAGTCAGTTTGAAAGTGGGCCTCGATATCGCATTTATATCGTTGACGACATAAATGTCAAAATTTTCCGCAGCTACGCTGTTTTTGTTGTCCCTCTGGGACGGTAAGTCACGAATGATATCGGTTCAATTTTCAGGCGTATAGAAGCTGAATACAATCTCTATGACCTTTTGTTTCCCTCTGCAGATTGTGCGTTAGATAGTAACGGGGGTATTAAGATGAATTAAAGCAATTAAGCTGTTAACAACTAGAGTCTACACTTTTTGAAGTACAATGAATGTTTTAGGGAAGGTGAGTGGATATTTTCGACTGAGAAAGGTCGGAAGACCTTGCGTCAGCAAGCTGAAAAGGTCAGATTTGTGAAAAGGGGTGTTGGTCCTGTGAATCAGCGGTGAGCCGTGATACTTACTCTTTTGTTAAGGACCGCCTAGCAGTTGTTACGTTGTCGCGATCTCAGACGTACACTTCATTACAGCAAGTTCAGGATGAACTGGGTCCCTTCGCTACTCGATTCGATCCACGTGAAAACGGAGGCCTGGTTGGTTTTTTATTGCGTCATGTCGCTTTATTTCTAAAAGAATTTGATTTCGATAGTCCAATGAGGGCTTTGAGGTCTTGACTATTCTCCAAAGGAGGTGGGTAAGGGGACAACGAGTCATATTCGCATATTAAAATGACATCAATCCACTGGTCCCATTAGCATCGTCCCAATTGGGAGCATAGTATAATCCGGGTAACGTAAGCTTATTGTTCCAGCTCCAGCTTGTTCTTGGAGCTGGTACAACAACCTAAGCCCTTGTATTCTAATAGGAGGTTTATGGTTTATTGCCCCTATGAAGGGTCTTTTTAGATTGATTTCCTCTCTACCGGCAGTGTTGATGTACGGGTGACCAGAGCATCCGGAGAATCGTCTATGAATGGCAAGTGGACCGTTGAAGATGTTGTCGTTGATGGTCAGGAGTATAGGCGGCTAGTTTTCCTATCTAGCAGTAATATTGTTCAGTCTGAAGCTCTTTTAAAAAGTAAGTACCTATTTCCGATCCTTACTATTTCATCTGATTCTCTAAGGTACTCGAATGAAAGGGAACTCAAGTCGATTCTTTCATGTTTTCCAGTTTCTCAGCCTTCTTTTCAGGTAAAAAAGGCGGGAAGAAAGCGGTTGATCTCGAAAATTTGAGTTGTGATCATCATATTCTTATGCTTTCTGGGCTTACTTTATTACCCTCGAATCCTCTCCATGACCCAACCGCAGCGCAGCTAAAGGTTAGAATTTTCATCTTCATTAGTTGTGAACTTGGCAAATACGATAACCATTTTTCTATAGGTGGCTGTTCTGGGTCTTGGGGGAGGCCTTCTGGCTTCGTTTCTTCTTCGTAATCTAAACAAGGTTTGAGATGTACTATTGGTTCCGACTTTACCACGCTTCAAATTGCTGACCATTTTGAGGCGACGATCGAAGGAGTCGAACTTGATGGTGATCTTGTAAATGTAGCGACCCAGTGGTTTGCGTTGCCCAGTCATGATTCTCGAATGAGCGTAAAAGTCATGGATGCTGTGGTCTATTTGGAGCAAATCTCAGCACGAGGTTAGCATGATCCTTTATATATTCAAAGTATGAGCTCGTCTAACCTAGCGTAGTTGTGATGGTCATATTGATCGATTTTTTGAAGGTTGGGTGGTAGTACTTCAACAATCAGGGCCTATAGCTAAGATTTTGCAGTCTGAGCTGCCAGGCTAGCGGTTCCTCTCAGCGTCTGATCAGAACCTAGTCTTATTACTTTCTGATTTATCTGGTTTTTTCGATGGGTTCAATGTGGAAACGCTACCTTGTGGATTAGCCCTCAGATGTTGGAACACCGAAGAAGGAATCTACCATATTGGTATAAGTGTTGCAATCATTGAGTGGGTCTTCTGAGGCGGATATTGAAAAGAGAAGGCTTGACATTTTTGCAGAGTTTATCAACATTGACCTACTAGGTTGCTTGTCCTTAAGGGCTCTTTAGATTCAGGAGTGGGTAAGTGCATCCAGGCGCTCTGGCTCCTTATCATCCCTTATCGCTTCCTTTGACATTTTATGTCACTCACGTCAATGTCGAATGCATTTTCGTCCAAGATTGGGGATCTATTACTGAGAACGCAGTGGTATTTCTATTACAATTATTGGAATTGTTTATTCTCCTATACTTGGTGAGGTTTTAAGAAAATGAAGTGGTGAAGGAGTGATTGAAAGGTTTTTCTTACAGAGGAAAAAGAGAAGCTGGATGTGATGTTTGTGGATTTGGCCGGTCCCGTACATGAGTCGGGACTTAGCTGTCCACCGGCCATTTTCCTTACCGACCCTGTCCTGTGTAATATGAAGAATTCACTAAATTCAAATGGTTGGTTTTCCTTACAGCGGTTTTGATGATTAATGGTAGATACATGGAGAGAGCTGTCATTATAGGTTAGTAATTGGTAAATTAACGCCTAGTTCTTCTTTAGGTGTCATCGCTATGAATCTGGTTACGAGAGATGAAGAAGTTGCACTCAGTGCTAAACGTTCTATGGCTGCCCATTTCCCGACTTTGTATAGCATTCGTTCCGAAGAAGATGTTAATGAGGTAATCAATGTCACCTAGAATATACTCGATGGCTTTGACTTGATGTTTTGTTAACTGCTGTTATATCGCCGCATTACGCGTTCCGAAAGTCTCACGAGGTTGGCGATTATGGTCAAAACTTCAGTCTAGGGCGGGATTTGAACCCGTGCTTGTGCTTTAAGGGCATCAAGCTTCATTTTGAAGGCAACGTATGGAAACCAGATAGCATGACGGTATAAAACTGATAGGGCGATGCAAGTAATATGGTAACGTCATTGTAAATTTGCAAGGAAGTTTGAAGTCACATAGAGTACCCCTAATAAGGGAGAGGCTGAAATGGCTCGGAACCGATAAACAGATCCCCAAGATGGGACTCGCTTGTGGAAATGGTGATCCGTCACTTTTTGCTTCTCAAGAAACAACTCGAGATGGTCTCTGTGGTGTAGGAACTAGCACAGAGAGGGCTACAATTCTGAGAGACTACAGAAAGGGTGAAAGGCCAGAAAATGTCGTATTATTGGATATTGCCTATATTACATAATTCTTTCTTGAATTAAGGACACTTTTGGCTTGTAAACTTCAAGGGGACAAGGAGTCGCAAGCAAATTGCTGGTCGTTCCTCTCTCTAAGAGTCTATGATGCCTTAAAGGGTTCACAATTCTGAGTAGTAGCCGACTGCATGGCGCATCCCAAAAGGCTTATGAGCGCTCGTAGCGCTTATGTATTAATCATCTGCTGGTCAAAGTGTTACTGTGATTATTTTGAGTGGCATGGTCTCACTGTATCGCAAAGGGCGTGTTGCAGGCAATTGAAATCGCATACTTCTAAAAGAAGATGAGTTTTCTTGCAATCAATTGGAACATTCATCAAACTCAATACTGATTACTCATCGGGACATCATGTTCTTTGCGCCGCTCAAAAAGTTACTTTTGATACGCCAATCAAAATGATTATCTGTGACCGTCTAGAAAGGAGCGAGCAGAACATGCGCGCGGTCAACTTCTCAAAGATCTGCTGGATAAACCCATTGGTTCTGGTTCTACTTTGAATTGCTATCAGTCCCCTCCCTCTAAAACAATAAATGATAAAGTCTTTGGCGTTACACATTCCCATCAATGAGATGCGTCCAGCATTTTATTCCCAATAAAAAACGCGGTGGTGTTTGAATGCGTACGTGGCTTATACAATGATCTGCCGGTGCAAAAATCAGTGCTTTTAATCACTGAAACAGTCTGGTACGAATTGACCGACCAGGGAGGGATGGATGGCTTGGTTGGCCTGGGCAGATATCGATCCGGGACTCGAACCCGTTACCATGTGTGTGATAGTGCGCCATTAACCACTACACCGCCGCTGTATTGATAAACTGTGTTGTATAATAGTTGTGTGAACGGTGTGAGTTTTGTTTGCAGACTGCTGGGGAAGGTGGTTCTGATTGATGTCATGTGGAAACAGTTTGAATGGTAGAAAAAAAAATGTGAAAGAATTGAATATATGATGCTACTTGAGCATGAATGTCGAGGTTGATGGGTAATATTCCCAGTTAGTATAAAGTTACTCCGGGCCTTTTCTTCCGATTCTCCGCAAATTTGATTACTTTGGATGCAACTCTGTAGAATTACTAATAGGAAATCAACCGTTTTGGATTTTTCTGAGGCATCACGTTTAGTGTAAAATTAAATTATAAATTGCTAGTTTCAAAGGGAATAATTCCAGGTCCTTCTGGCGTGTACAACCCATGATAAGAACTTCGACGCTGTTCAATTTGCTCGTTCTTTACGAAAAGACATTCGATGGGTGAACGCCCTTGAACCCGTCATCGCAAGGATTACTTCCGTATCTGTACAATAACAGCCTACTTGTTGCACCGTTAGTTGTTTCTGCTTTTTTGTTGTTTTTATTTGCCTTCTAATCGAAGTTGTTGACTGTTGACATTTTTGCTTGATTTTGTTTAGATTTCTAATTTTTATTTCGCGAATAAATGGTGCATAATAACCGACCAAAAAGCACGTATTTTGGGGTCTATTTTAAGCTGTTCGTGCGCGATTTGGCATTGCTTGCTCAACGCCCGCACCACTTCGGCAATTTGTATGTGCTTAGACATTAGCAAACACCTTACCTGCTGCCTCATTGCAACCGGTCGGAGTTCGTATAACTGTCTCATTCGTGCTCATCATCGTTTCCAATGCTTACAGTTTATCTGTACTTTCATTTGTGCGCAGTAGTTAATGATCATCACCCACGTGAAGTTCGAGAGTACCCAGTGGATGACTACAGTACCAATGATTTCTCTTCCTTCATTCGTGAAAAGAGGCAATGGAGGTATTGAGAGGGTAGGCCAATGTCTGCACACAGGGAAGCCATGATTTCGATTCTTGCGGAGATGAAAATCCATGCCAGCAGAAATTGCAAAGTGATGATGGCACCGGCGTTCGTCCCTCGGTGATCGGTCGATTGGTACCACCGATATGGCTAAGTAAGTAATAGTAAAAAGGGTAAGGGCGTACCTAGTGAGGAGTTGGGCCCCTTTAAAAGCTTTGTTCGAATGTGCCTATGGCCTCCAGGTAGTGACTGCGTTTACTTTTCTTTATCTATCAATATGATGCGTACATTGAGGGATAGCGATAGCCTAAGCATCAGTTCCAGTCCAACGTTTGAAGCACTTCTGCCTTTGATGATCTGCAAGCTGGTGAACTAAAGTTTTACGTATAGGATTCATAAGGAAAAGGAACGTACTGATTTTGGGCTCGAGCGGTACTAGAGAGTGTCGCGCGTTGAACGTTCAGCTCCAAAAGAGATGTTCATTAGGGCTCTGTAAAGTAGTAAGTTCTAGGAATTGATCAGTCAATTCAAAGATCAATGATTCCAAAGACCTCAAAGAGGCCATGGGTATGGTTCACCTAAGGTCCCCATAACTGAGGTGCCTATACCTGGTGCTCTCTTACAGTGTCTCAGCCATTTCGATTTTGATGTTTTGAGCATTTCGCTTTCCGATTTTTTCTTTTGTTGAGGTACGATTTCGTTTTTTCATAGTAGTATAAGAATTTGGAGAAAGTAGCGCTTCGTCAGCGGCGTCGATACCGGTACAAGAACAAATAGAAGCCTCTGGCACGAAAAAGAGAATGGGTCGCTACGAAAAAAAATGTCGCCTTTTTGAATTCAAGGATTTTTTATTTAGGGTTAAAGTTCGTGCAAACAGTTTTTTACCAGCCATGCAACAACTGAGAAGAGTGAGAGGTTTTTGTCACTTGAAGCATTTGCGCCAGACGAACGGGAGGAGGTTCTCCACGGGTTGGTATCAAGATGGGGAAGGTCCCTTAATGTACGGCAAAAAAAGATTCAGATTGTATCAGTTACAAGCGAGCGCAAAATCTTTTGGCAGACAATTTTGCCATAGTGGAACCGCAACTTGTTGAGATCGTTTGCAACCCTTTAGCGCAAGTCTAGGTCTCTACGCAAGCGAAAAAGAAAGGAGGGGGGGGGGGCAGCTCTGAGACTCTCCGCTAGAGAGGTACAGCTTCTTGTCCTGAAGGGTCGATAGAGCCCTGTGCAACTTGGCATAGGGTGTCGTTAGGTTCAGAACATATTCACATGGAGTCGTCATCCTTAGCTTTTTTTTCGAGACAGCAAAGAGCGCTGGTGCTACAGTTCTTTGAAATTCCATCCAAGATGTGACCATCCAGAGTAGGGGTTCCTTTTGGGAGGTTCCCATTTCAAGATAAGACAAAACATCCCAAACACAACACCGTGCTATACCATACAGTAGTGAGGTATGGACGAAACTTTCTCAAGTCCTCCAAGTGTGATCCTCCACCTCCACTCTACACAGATGGTCGTGAAATGATAGATATGTAGGTAGGGAAGAATGGATCTGATAAGCTTCCCGAAGGGAGGATTCTGAGGAGCTTTTTTTGTCTGGTAAGAACAATATCACTTTTTTGGAGTAGATTCTGGTTCAGTAGGTAAACGTTGAATGAGTCACTGCCTACACCATGCTGCTCTGGAATTCTGTTTCTGCAAATACGATTTCGATCGTCTATGAGCATTCAACTGTAAACCGGGCACGTAGCTCTCTCCTCATCGAATCGATTAATCGTCTTCCGTTGAAATCAAAGAAATAATCGTGTTGCCACAATAGTGCGAAAGGTTGCCCCGGCCGCTGATGCCGCTTAGTCATCCCACTCGACATGGGTGTGGTCTACCCATTAACCGCGTTCGTTGGTTGACTGATGAGTATTTTGCAGCAGTCATGACCCGTCAACCCCAATCTCCTTCTACGTTCCCCTATACGCAATCGGACATTTATCCACAATCGCGCTCAAAACTGAGCAACACCCCATTTCGACGTGATACATCTGATGCTATTTTATCTGTCAACTCTGCTTTTTTTCATGGTGGCCCATACAGAACCGGTTCTCCCGGCCCACTGCGGGCACCTCAACGTTTCCCGACGACGACGTTTAACCATCCATTCATGAATGTTGTTGTTCTTTTCCACTTTCCTCTCTTTTAAATCGGATCTTAGTCTTAGTTTCTTTGGCGAGTCCAGGAATCGTCCCCAAACCAGCAAATGTTCTCGCGGGATCGGAAGAACTTCTGACGTTCTTCTGGAGATTGATTAGACACCTAGACATTCTGTTCAGGTCCACGTAAGCTTTAATCGGTCATTACGTTATCAGTGGGGTTAAGTGAAGAACTAAATGGTGCTGACTGACGCCAATCAATGAAAACTCTAAGCCTTCTTGAAGAGGTGTTCTTCAGGGGTCCTTCCCAGCTTCAAATAAATTTAGCATGAGATGGGTCGTGTAGGTACTTCCTATACAAACTACTTATTTTCCCTTTTCTTCTCTAAAAAAATTGAATCAGTAGATGTAACGGCTCCAGACTACTCCGTTCAACCCCTTTCCACCCATAGTTTTGAGCCTCATCTGGCATCCATTGAGACTATGGTCAAAGGAACTTCTCTTAGAGCGTTTTGTGTCGAGGTTGGCTACCAAATGAAGTGATGCCCATTCTCGGACCTCATGTGAGTAAATAAAATGGCCTGCATGCGCATTGGAAATTGCTTTTGTACCAGAAAAAGCATAAGTTTGTTGACCTTGGTGTGTTTTGCATATATCGTTAATATTTATGGGCTTAGTAATGGCCAAAGCAAAAATGAGACCTGTCCTCTAAGTGTAAATATTGGACAGCCCGAAAAGTTCTGTGGCGTTTTCGATCATGTCCATTGAAGTCATTTATACCGCANATAGCTCTATCGACAGTATCCTATCCTCCATCAGAATACTACCTATCGGCTTTGAGACCGGGACCGTTTCGAGGTACTGTCCCTTAACGTGATGAGTTAGAAATTGAGAAATACAGCGAGAAGAGTGAGCTAGATTCAGCTTTTTGAGAAAGGGAGGTGGGTGGGGAGGGTAAGTGGAGGGAAGGGGTTTGGTTTGGAAGTGGTTTAGCGCAGGCACCAAGATTCATGTGGATGAAACTCACATGCAAGCCTTCATTCGTTTCCCTTTCTATTCCATGACACAAGATCTGACAAACTTCGAAACAGACACTATCAAGATAAGAGCACTGTGCCCGGATAGCACAATTATGGGTTCGAGTCCCGTCCGAGGCCTAGTTTTGTCCATAACTCGCCAACCTTTCCAGACACTGACCTTCTTGACACTGATTAAAAATCCATGTAGCGAGAGCTATGTATGTAAGCCAGCCCTTCCAGCCAGTTGGGGGTGTATGATCTTTCTATGCTGCGACAGTGGAACCACTTTTGTTGAAAGATTTATTCTCAGTGACCCAGCATCCACTGGTAGCCAGCCTGGTGTCTCGCGTAGGGATAATTTTTTGGGCATCATATCAAAGTACCAAGTCGATCGATCCCATTGAAAAAGCTTCCGAGGAGGATAACATTCAAAGGCCTCCAGCCCGACATCACAACAGTAGGGCTCTTTCTTCTTTGGCCCTAGCGACGCACGACTTCAACCATGTGTAGTCGAACTCGATGCCAACTACAGATATGTACGTCGGAGTGGTATCCCATTCGATGCCTAATCAGCCTAACAATAATCTTCCAAAAAGTTTGGAAATTCCGACTATTGCAATTTTGGCTTTGCGATCATCTAGGTGTTTGGTTTTTAGGCTTTAACCAAATCTGGGAGTCCTTCGACTGACTTTCAGACTTGGTCGGAACTTAAGAATCAAACCTTTATACGATTGATCTTTGAACCGTTACTTTTGGTCTTACTGTAGACCCCAATCTGCATGATAGACATTTTATATAATTTATTGTTATTGTGCACTGAGCATGACCAGTTCGCACCCATCCCAGTCATTCGATCAATATAAACCAGAACCAGACCTATGAGGATAAACCGTGATGGCTACAAATGCGATTTCTGTGGGTCCGCTGATTTATAATCGGACATAACGGGTGCAGAGATGGAGGCCACTACCTGCTATTTCCATATCCTGAATGGTTTTTTATTATTTCCCTAATTAGGCGATCATATCCGTGACATTACCATTTCTCTGAACGTCATTCGAACCAGCCGAGTGCATGGCGCATCCCAATTAAATTGCTGACAACACCTGAAATATTTCGTTGCAATGAGTTTTGATATGTCCACGTGTTATTAAAACATCCGATTATGTGCTCATATCATACGGTCGAAATCGTTTCAGGACCTTTTCCGATGCTCGATTACATCAAGCAGGTCTTCATTACTGGTGACGCCTCGTGTATAGGAAAGAAGGTAATACTGTATCTGTTTCTGAAACTGCTCTTTTTTATCGAATCGGATCGTTATGGAGATTTTACGATCGTTAACACCAACCAGTCATACCATCAAAAATGGCTTTATTGTATTTATTTTTCAACTTTTTTCTTGTAAACACATCCAACTTTTCCGTACTTTCATCTGTAAACAAACCAACTCTCCAGTTCTGCAAGCTATGTTTTTCTGGAAGAACTCAAGGTTGAGTTCGCCTCAGGAAAAAGGATTCTGAGTTTACTTAAGCTATTTCCTATGCCGTAATGGTCCTTGTGAGAAAAGTACCCACATAGGAGGATTGCCGACCTCTTTCCCTTTTGAATAGGGTAAGGATAAATCACGACTTAAACTTGAGTTCCTTGCATCTCTTACAGTTTGTTAGCTTAGCAAACTAAACAAACAATTCACAGACGTCTACGTCTGAGTGCTGAGGGTAGATAAAAGAGAGTACTGTGCAGAATATTTTACCACCCAATCCAAAGCCGATCGTATTACTTGACTTGTACGACTCAGAGTTGTGCACGGGGATATGAGTGCCACGTGATCGTACCTGATCTAACAGGAGCGAGGTTCGTGCTTAGCAAGCAAATGGATCCTTTCCTCTTTGATGGGTATGGGAATGCATCAAATAAAATCGATTTTGAATGGGAAAGAAATATTGACAAAGCAATACCGTGGTGAGACTTGGTCTTTACTCATTTCTTTTCGTGGACAGATGAAAGTGAGTAATATGCTGATAAAAATCGCTCCTCATAAGTAATCAGTACTTTGAAGATGAGTAATATACTGACAAGAGGCATCATCTTGCCGCTACCGATTGTTTGGATCATGTCACACCCCTGTAGAACGAGTCCTTCATCATTTCAGCTCCCTTCGAGTATCGTTCTAGGAGTAGGTATCACTCTGTCTGTTGAGCTTCTGTTGAGACAGCCTCCCCATTTCGGTAATTTACTGGAAAGGCCACATATGCTTGATGGATGGATGCTCCCCCAAAAAGTTGAATGTGTGGCTACCCTTAAGTACTGACCGGCGCTGAACATACCTACTCTTAACCCTTTTCTGCGCACTCTGCTTAGGTCGAAAGAGCTCTACATAGGTTACTCGGCTAATTCCTCCAAGAGAAGTGCTCCCTAGAAAGTTCCAAGAAACTTCTTGTATCGAAAAGTTGCTTAAATGCCAAGGACGTATTTCGATGAGTCTTTAGCTAATAAAAACCGAAATCGCTGAAATTCTTTCAGTGAATGAGCCTCTCAAAGCAAGCATGCCCCTCCACTCGGCATTGTCAATGCTGAATCATCGCGTTCCGGTGGAAATGCTTCACTTGTCACTCTTTGAAAAAAATGGCGATAATCTGTCCAAAGGTGGCGTCGAAGCGTTCACAAAACGAAGCGAATGCAGCCAGATCTGGGACCAAGATTTATGGCGAGATAATAGCCGTTTACAGGAAAATTGGTCTCGAAGATTGGCGCAATAAAGGAGGTCGAGGAAAGAGAATCAAAGGCTAAAGGGAAAAGAGCCCTAAATGCACGTGAAGGATCCGAGGGTGACGGTGTTGAAGAGTTCGTCGACAATAGAAATCCAAAGGCCAAAGGTCCAAGGGTGAGCAAGATTTGGGCGCACACTAGACCTCCAATCGGTCATGAAACACCATTTGTCATTCTTTACTCTCTCTAGCAAAGTCGTGGGTTATAGGAATGGTTATGGACCTGAACAACGGCCTTGTTTACTGTTTACATTCGGGGATATCTTATTTTACTTCCCACGCTGCCCCTAGAAATTCAGATGCCCCGATGAAAACCGAGCCTGCGATCGATTTGAGACCGAGTTTTCGAACAGAAGACTTGAAAGCAAAGTAGGATGCGCCATGCATTCGATTTCTATCGAAATTAGCAGTGGCGCTTTGATGCGAATATGATCCGTGCGTAATCTCGAACTACAAATAGTTAATCAGCCATCAACTTACTCAGTTCAACTCACAACCGGTTGAGGAACAATCTGGGGTTTGATTACTGAACGCTTGTACAGCAGAACTGCCTACGTCACTGGCCTATGTTCATTGTATAAATTTTACAAACATATTCCTTCCTCTCCTCTTCAGGATGATGACCTAAGAAGGTGGTCAGCTGAAGTGGCAAAGGAAATCGCTGAACAAAAACCCGAATTCGCCGTTGTTCATGTACAAGGGCTTCATTCAGCAGATGACCCCGATTACATGTCCCGAGTGATTCTCGGCGGGTGAGCTCTACGAGAGACTTTCATTTCAAAATCAACTCAAATTTTAAGTGGGAACTATTTTCAGGATAATCGACACTCCTGAGATTCACAAACATTTCGATTCATCGATAGCATTTTTCGACACCACTGTTACGGTAAGTAGATGATGATTGCGAAAAAATTATGGTGAATCCTAATGTGTATATCGTTTTCAGGGTCTTGGAAATCTGTACTTGTTCCGTGACCATTCAGCTGTACAACAGTTTGACAGATTTCTGAATACCGGCTATCGACAAATTCGAGCTGGACATGATGCTGTCGTTGGAAGGTCGGAAGCCGATGGTTTCATTAGAAACACCTTCGGAGAGCAACCCGTCACATCTCGTCGGCTGTTTTACGTAAGGCCTTGGAAAGTTACTATTTCAATTGCTTTGAAATGTGTAAATGCTGAATTTTGACCTTAAAGGTTTCACTTTCAAAAATTAACCTTTCTTTCGATTCTAAAGCGGTTTCTCTCACACTTTTCTGATTTCCATAATAATAGGCGCCACTCAGACATCTCTTTCTCGAAAAGCAAAATCAGCCCCATTGAGTTAAAGTTGTTTATCATTTTTTTCCCATGCAGGAATAATTCCAAATGTTTGAACAGTGTTTTTGCCTTCCCCTTGTCCCCCTAAATAAGCGCTTGCTTTTACTGAACGAAGGGATACTTTAGGTTCTGTTTAATGTCCATTGAAGATCTCCCTAAAAATGTTTGATGACGATTGATTTTGTTTCTTGCCAGAGGGAAGACGGTACACGCGACATTTCACAGCAAAGGACCGGATTTCTCTTGACCCGATTCAGAATCCATGGAAAAGAAGTAAGTGGACTCAGTGATTCATAAGGTCAAAAAACTGACATTGTGAAGTTTTTCAGATGACATTTGTCAATCTCAACCTTCATTCGGTTCCGTTCGAAGACGTGAATGAGATCGTCGAACAGGTTCAGGTTACAAAAGCTGCAAGGAAACGTAACGAAGAAATCGAGATGTTACTAAAAGAGTAAGATAACAAGCTAGATTCATCGACCTGATCCTGGCTACCATCCAAAGTATCAATGGCACACCGTCTTGCGTCTGATGGCCTGGATGCGCCATGCACTTTACACTAGCCTTGAATTGTCGAGGGGATCATTAACGTATAAGGCCCATCCTAAGTTTTGCAACCGATTAGTGGAGTTGGGGTCATAAACAAGGATCCCAGTTGAAGCTTTTCAATAATGTAGGTTGCTGCTGGAAGAATTGGGGGGTGGGATACCAGACAGCGTCCTTCGAACTCGCACCGTAGCGGGATCGAATCGTGGCTCAGAAAAAAAATTAAAGAAAGTTTTCTCGGCTCCTAGTAATGCTGCTTGAGCTTGTGAGGGAAGAGCCAAATGTGGATCAGGACCGGAATGGACCCACAGGATCCCAATGAAGCTCGGAACTAGTAACTGTAAAGTTCTAGGGTGAACATCCTTAATCAATTTTGGACCGTTTTCCGAAGTAAAGATAAAAAAGGCTCTGTTACACTAGAGGTGTAGGGCTGGGGCTGAGCGAATCTACAGTATTCCTCAACTTCTCCTATCCAGTGAATAGTCCGCTTTCATCAGCGTTAAAGGAGAGACAGTAAGAACATTTTAGTTGATCGGATCACTTTTCAGACTGGAGGCCGAAGGTTTACGTGACGATGCGATAATTGTTGGTGGCGCGTTCAACGCTCAACTTCACGAGACCGACTTGTTGACGGTTTGGTTGCACTGATTTCAACAGCGCCATCATTCACAAACGTACACATTAATCGAAATAACTCTTACAGTATCTTGCAAAAACTCAAATGGTACAAACTATAGCAAAAAAGGATAATTCAGGAAAGGTCGAAGCAATCCAGCAATATGACCGACATGGCAGAGTGAGCTCTACTTTTTGTTTCGTCCAATAGACCTTTTCTCGGTCGAATTCAGTTGGATGAGTAAGCGTTGCGAGGCAAACTAGCATGGAAGCAAGAGCCATCTCTAATGGTTCTTGGAAAGAAAGGTAGCAGAAGAGTTAAAAAACTATGCCCGGTCAGTAAAGACTCCTCCAATGTGTCAGATCGTGCGTGCACCCCGCTGTGCATTGACCGGCTCGTCAGGGACGTTCGGTACAGTCGATCCGGTTGGCTGATTGAAAGAGAGCTCCCTACTTTTTGGTTCTATATTTGTGTTCTGCATGATTTGACGAAGGTGCCCGTGAACAAAAGACAACCCATTTCATGCCTATCCAATCCCCTTATCGGAGAACCTGGAGAAGGGAAAGAGCGCGAGAGCAAAGTTTCTAATCCTTTATTTGTTTCCGACAAACTTCCAACTAATGGAACGAATCATGGATTTGAAAACACATTAGGACTGTACACTTTCAATAATCAGGTCTTACTCAAATCAACTCTCACCCCATTCATGTCCAATATTACGCGGAGCTACCTCGATGACTCGAGACCCGTTTCTTCATTTATGGAATCCATCAGACAAATTCTGCATTAATTTCCCGAGCTGGTCAATTTGAGAGGTATTTTTAGGAATATTGTGAAGATCTGTGTTAAAAATCAACTGGACTTTCTGGTTTTCCATGAGATCAGTACATTTTAAAGCTCCCCAGAACTACGAAATTAGACCAGATGCATGGTGTACACCACCAACATAGATCTACACCTTCTTCCCAATTGTCTAGCCTTACTTGCCAGTCATCTCCGTACTTATTACTCCCTTTGGGAAGATTATTGGGAAAGTATTATGCAGCTCAGTGGCCTCGCCGATGTTTCCTGTATCTCTCCCATTTCTCGTTTCAGCAGTGAACCCTGTCCGAGTCCTTTCAGTGCAGAGAGCGTTAATGGTGGACTCGAATCTACTTTTGTTTTTAGAACGTTACGACTGTTGAGCGCCAACGATTCGATCTCCATTCCATCCATGACTGGTTCTTCCGACTTGGCAGAGGTCAAATGGTGAAAAAGTGAGTCTATTCTCTCACAATATTTGTCCTCTGGAAAATGATATTATTCCGACAATTTTCAGATACAATGGTGAACTGGCTCCAGTCACGTTTAAGGGACAATTGAAGGAACAAAGTGTTTTCTTCCAAGTAAGTTCTGTGTAGCATTGTCTCAGTTGATGAGTCCGACCTAATATCAGACCATACTATCCTACCCCTTGTCCTTTTCCCTTCCCTTTGGCTCCGAATTTGACCTTCAACGTACCAACTGTTAAGCATAGGCCTCCATCAGTATTTCATCTCAGGGACTTTATTTCTTTGGCCTTTGAGAGTCTCTGTAAAGTAGACGAAGAATGGGGAGGTGGGACCGAGGGGAATGGTGGTTGGAGCGCAGAAGGGATAGGATTGCACTGCGTTTCAGCTGGTCTTTTTGAAGAATTCCAAATGAAATACCCAGGACTGTTGCCTACCACACTGAAGATCTCATTTTTTCCAGCACTTCAGTATTCTCACGACTTTTTTCCTCTCTGAGCTTATAGGGTATCCACCTCCCTGTAGCTCTGTAGCACTGTAGACCTCATCCTTCAGGATAGATTTGAGCCATTTTATCGTAGCCCTCTTCATTTCAGCCATCTCGACATTACGCTATTAACGAGCATACCGGTAAAGAAGAGTTCATGCGCACACTGTGTCCAGCATGGGCAGATCGTGTTCTATACAACGAGAGGATGGACAAGCTTTTCCGATATGTAAGTTGTGATTCTGATTGTGATGGGAGACCCACTCAAGCGAGGCTATTCTTAGCTAGTTGTCTCGCTGCTCAGCATACCGTTCGGGACTCCTGACACATTGTGCTGCTGAATTCAAATGAATTCGGACAGGGCAGAGAAAAGCAGATCTGACATAATAGTTTCACCTACGCAGAGCGCATAACATAGACTCTCACTGGTATTCGTAGAAGTCGGATCAAACTCTCCGTCTCTTCGGTACCAGCTTATTAGCGCTCTCTCCTGTCCGAGTTTCCTAGTCGCTGTTGCAGCTTCCTTTACTTTCTTTTTCAGGACTCCTTCTGTGCATCTGGGCTGTACTATGGTTTGGTGGGTGAAAATGTCTACATCGGACAACACAAACCTGTCGCACTTCACGCCACTATTTGTCTCAAATGAAAGCGAGAAACAAATCAGTTTTTTTAGCATTTATACATCATCTTTACCAATTGTGATTCTTGAATGTTCCTCTCTCGCCTAACTCCCAAAGGGAGTACAGTTCGTAGATTGTCGTGCCAGCTATCTGATAATTACATGGATAGCGTTCAAGCATTTTGTTCCATTTCTGGGCTTCATGCGTACTTTTGGCCTTGATTTCATTCGCATAACAATAAACATTGAATCAGTGCTACCGTACTACCGTTTAAAAACACTGGGCTGTAAAAGAACTCAAGATCCCTCTGAATTTCGCAGGCTCCCATTTGACTAATGAAGAGGAAAGATAATTCAATTTTCATTCCCCTACGTCCGTGAATCTTTTCAAAAGTTTCACTCGGGCTCTAGCTTCAGACTGGGCCCCGATGAGTTCCTGTCTATTATAACTACTTGGAATTCGGGTTTGTTTGGAGCTGCCATTTCTATCAGAGGAGCCTACACCGTCCCAACCTATCTGATTAGAAACAATCAACAAAAGGAAAGAGAAAACAAGGAAATAGAGATTATCCGACTCTACATTTTGTCACAGCTGTCCAGTCTAGGAATCACATTCAAAACAAGATGAAATAAATCATAAAGGTATGACACTTAGAAATTTTCAGTACCGGCGCGGTTTCAAAGGACCAAGCGCTCATCTTTAATTGCCGTGGCAGCAATCCGACAAACCACTCTAGTATGGACGAAAAGTTATCGAGCACGAATAAATTTATATCTACTGTTACCACATAGTCGAATATGAGGCGTGCAGCTCAAAATGCGTGCGGTCTTGACGCAGAACAGTATGAGTTTGAGTTACTAGTGTTCTATGATAGTTGAAAATTTCGTGATCAATTTTATCTATACAGTCGCTCTTCAAGCAAAGCTACGATGATCTCGCTACTACTGATCATAAATGGAATGATGAAAAGGTTCATTTTATATGGAATGGCCAGTCTAAGGAATGATAATCTACACATTACCAGCATCATAACTAGTTTTCTACACATACTTTGAGATTGCCTTTGATAAACAACAAAATCTGTGCAATATGCAAGATTACAAATATAAACGTAAGCATCAGCAGGGCAGCAAAAATGAACGTAACATAGTATCAAAAGTGCTAAAAAAAANAAAAAAAACAATTCAATTACCCGCAGATTCACAACAAAACAATAGCAGTAAAACGACAAAAGATGCAAAAGAAAACAAATAACAAAATGTAGTTCGCTTGCCTTAGTGTCTTCTTGGACTGCTTCGCATTTTGCTCGCACACGCGTCTCCTTCACCTTTGTGACCCACCACTTCACTGTAGCGCCTAAAATACATGCGAAAAGTTGAGGGTCAGAAATCGTGCCACATCATGCCATAACCATGACTTTCGTAGGCCCCGCTCTTCTGGGAGAAGTGGCCAGACTCCGACTAAGGTCTTAATTAGTGGTAAGTTCCAGGCACACTTATAGGTTCTACTTTTCCAACTATTTCCCCACATAGAGATACCGCTGGACTATATCTTGAAGAAATTACTCTAGCGAGTGAAATGATGGTAAGCCTCCCCTTCAACGCAGAACCAGATAAAACAAATTTAAAACTGATTAAAAAAGGGTAATTAGCCAGACATGTTTAAGGGCGTTACATGAATCATACAACAATGCTGCAATGGAACGTAAAGGTGACACAGATTATAATGTAAAACCTCAGGAATTTCTAGTTCCTCAAGCTCACACCAGCTACTCACCTTTTTCTCGGTCTTTCTGAACAATCAACAGTGGTTGTTGTGTTATCATCAGAACTTGTGTCATCATCACTGCTCGAACTACTAGATGACGAATCGCTGCTTGACTCATTCACAGGTGGCCCATGCATTGACTGCTCCATGATGGGGATCAACTCGGGACGTTCTTGATTGAGCCTATAAAGCAGAATACAGCAGTCATCAAAAAGCAAAAAAAAGAGAAAGAATACATACCTCTTGAACCAGTGCTTGCTAAGTTTCGGTCTGCCCTTCACGGTTCTTGGCCAGACCTGTGGTAGATTCACTACGGAACAGTAATTTTGGGTTACTGCGATGGTGTTATCTTCGTTTATTACCACATGCCACCAACCTAAAGACAACGTTACGTCACACAAAACCCACTTTCTGTAGAAATAATCAACAAACCAATCCCCACCCGACGGGACAAACATTGTGTCGCCCGGACCTTGGCGTGCCTCAATTACAGGATATTCTTTAGGCCATGTTGACGCACGAACACGTTTGTAAACCGTCGAGAACCAGGTTATGGCCTCATCCGGATGTTTGCCTTTTTCCGACTCGTACGGCTTAACTAACGTTCGAGGTGTGTCAGGTGGTATTAGCACCCACCTACAGAAGAAAACTATGAAATAAGCGATGTACAAGACCGGTCAAATACGAAGTTACCGTTTGTGTCCCTTGATCAAGGAATTCCAGGCACTAGTGCCAAGCGGATCAATGTGAATAGATGTACCGGAACGAGCTGGGCCCATCACAAACCATCTCAAAACGTAAAACTAAGCATAATTACGAAAAATCATATGTGAATACAGAAAGTCGTGTACCGATTAGGAGGACGTTTCTTGTGGTCGGCATAACTAAATAGGTCATCCCTGAAGAGATGAGGAACGACAAAATCATCGAGAAGCTTTTTTGTTTTATGACGCTGAAACAGGGAAATTTAGAAATTCAACAGAAAAAAAANAAAAAAAACTTGCAAATACCACTAACATCGCCGAATCCACTGTCAAATATGTACAACGGGCTGTCGTCCACATTATGCACCATATAATCTGCATAATATTTCATTTTGAGCTTCACTGAGTAGCCGTCATCATCTTCTCCGCACTTGAATCGTTGGTTACGATATTTTCTAGCAATTCTCTATAAGAAGAACAAAGATCGATTCAAGAACTATCTTCATGCAGGGCATATTTCAAGAGTAACAAGTCGCTCTTTTTCTTTATAAAACCTTTAAAAAGAAAAAGAGCAAATGGATGCAGAAACCAAAAATTGGATACAATTCGACTAACAACAGTCTTGCCTATAGTTAATCGAATTGTATCCAAAAAACAATGAAAAAAAGCGGTTAGCCATTCATTTGTTGGCAGCTCTATATTCTCCAATTAGAACCGGATGGATCGAAATTGACAAAAATTGCATTATAAATCAATTGATTAAGTAAGAGTTGGGAAAAAAGCGTAAGTTTGCCAAGAAAAACTGATAGAGGCCTTTTCTATTCTTTGGAAGCAATAATTTTTGGAACCCCACTTAAAATACATTTCAAGGAGTTGAAACTGCGAAGTGCGCAAATAATAACAAAAGTGGACATCGAAGAAGGATTTAATAGAAAAGAACTCACCGAAACCGTCCATTTTTCATGCGCCTGCCATTTATCAGTCAAACCAGTCAGAATGATAGGAATACGAGGAGTTTCATATTTTTCACGGAACTCGCTAAGAGACAGCTTGGAACCATCCACTCTTAAAAAGGAGTTAAAAACGGTTTTTTCCATAATGGAATGAAGTAGTTAGATGCAGCGAGTCAAGACAGTCACCAACCTCATTATATTGTCTTGAAAATCAGGTAGAACAAATTTCTGAGCAAGGCCAAGCGTATCCCATCCAAAGTGATTCAACTCTGCAACAGCAAAATGTTCTTACTGCCCGCCAAATGGAGATGAAGTGATGAATACCTGGCCTTGCTTTTCTTTTTGCGTCCTCAACACGACGTGCAGATCTGCGATGATTATATGCCACAGTCATCTTCATGAGTCAAGGCAAACTGAACAACCAGAACCACTAATTTCCTGAAAACTACTTTGAGCAGTGAGGAGGGGGGAGGGGAGGGGGGAGAGGTAGATTTTATGAGAGAACTTCAACGGTTTTTGATAAGACTACTTATTTTTTCAACCTCGTTGTCAATACAGCAAGAAGTCCTACTCGTCATTTCGCACTACATACTNTACTCAAAATCGTCAAAGGTACATGTACCACATCATGAATGTCGCGAAGCTTAACTTTCATAAAGGACCAGAATCTGTTGAGGAGTATGATCTTCACTTAAGAACTGATCTATGAAGGGAAAAGTGAAAATAACTTCAACGGTAGGTTTTTGTGAAACATAATTTAAAACCACGAATTCGAAACAATTTGAAATCAGAATACGTAAAACGACACCATATCAGCAACTTGCAGCTTGAGCCCTTCGAATTTCTTGCTCTTCATCTCATTGTCAGTAGGATCTTAGTATAAGACTTCTTCAAGATAATTTTTCTCCAGTTCCTTTTCATTCTTTGTCCTCCTTCTTTCCCCGGCTTCGCTTCGTTTCCGTTAATTTACTGTTTGGGCTGGCGTATGACTAGTATTTAGAGTATATCTGTCAAGTAACCATCAGAAAAGCAAGAACGTAAAGGTCCACTGAGAAACAGAATGAGGCCACTTTCTCTGCCGGTTTGGTTATTTGAAAAACGAAATGAATGTAAGCAAGGTTTTCGCTGAGCTTCGTTTAACACCACATCACATAATCAACCGGGTCTGCTGCTTTCAGACTTCGACGATTCTACCTGCGTCTTCACACAGCTAAAATCGTGCGGGCGAACAAGCGAGCGGCTATGCGACGCTGCGCTAGACGGGTGATGACAACACTGGATGCCGATGGATCACGTGCCAGCTCTGTCAACAGGTGGCTAGCGCCGCCGTCGCTTGCTCGCATGCGATTCTACCTGCGTGCAGTCACGCACGCAGGTAAAATCGTCGAAGTCTGAAAGCTCTTATTACCACGTTGACAGAGCCACTCGGAGGTTCTGTGTGACTCGAAAAGGCGTTTCCGCCAACTTTCACCTTCGGTAATCTCTCATGCGTTGTTTCTACACAAGTTCCTGGCTTCTTTATTCTTTATGAATTCTCAAACTTTTTCTCCCTCGAAGTAATGGCGAGCAAGCTGGGTAAAGCAATACCTGAGGATATACCTACTCGATGCGCGAACATTTGAAGTCATGAAGTAGAGTTTCATAATCAAGTCTTTATTCATTTATTTACTTTTTCGGAACACAAAACAAACACGATAAGCTTGAATGTATTTCATTACAAGATTCACCAAAAAANAAAAAAGAAAATACTTCTCACAAAGCGAAACACGATAAAAATAGGGAGAGGTCACACTCATCAATCATAAAGTCACAAGGACAATGGGTTTAATGAGATGACGTTAATGATATATTCAGTTTCAATCACTATAAACATCAATGGTTATGCGAAAACAAATGGAATTGGAAAAATAAACACAGAAGATCAAGGCTACCCCAGCATTTGTTTTTGAACAACATCAGCGTTAAACTTAGTTGCTTCCCGACGTACACGCTTCTCATACTCTGCCCTAAAAAGGATTGCTACGTTAAGTCAAAACTTGCTAAAATGTTTATTCAAAAATATAATTAAGCATGCTTTATGATTACATCTTTCACTACAATGTAGAAAGAACAGCACCTGTTTTGGCAGAAAATTTGATAAGCCTCTGCTTGTGCGGGATCGTCGGGGTTCGGGTTGTTCAAGAGATCCTGTATCCCAATAAGAAGCTGTTTGATTGTAATCGACGGCTTCCAGTCCTTGTTTTCATCTAAGAGCGATAGACAAACCGTGCCTGAAATGGAGAGGAATTCATCTGTCTTCGAATTACGCCTTCTAAAGCTCACCTTCTAAAAGGAAAATTGTAAATTTATAAACACAATACTGCCACTTGTTCTTGCACCCAACTAGCACTGTCATTTCTTCTTATATGTGGTTTGAAGCACTCTAACATCATCCCTAGCATAAGGCCTTTCTGAACCAATCGCATGCCTTACCTTGCCCCGCGATGTTAGAGCGATGATCTTCGCCTTTCAACCCTTACACTCAGTCCAAAAACTTGAAGAGTAATCTCCCAAATGACGAACTCAGATTCTACTTTTTATGGATATATCTCACATTTCACATCCACTTTAAACAACGCCAGTGACACATTTTGAATACTTGCTCTTTTCAGTGGCGGTTAAATACTGAAGAATGTCATTTAGGACAAAAAAGAAAACATTTTTTATACCTGAAGGATAAACATTTGGGTGGAATAATGGGGGCTCGAATTTGCATTTCGGAGGTGTTGAAGGAAAATCGTCCTTGAATAACATGCGAATCTAGAAAAGAAAATAAGAACCGTTCGAGAAAAAGAATAAGAGATTATGAAAATACCAAACTACTACCAAGGTTGGCATTTAAATAGAATCAATCAAGTCGAAAGAGAACTGTCTTTGTCATAGGTAAGGGGTATGGGAACCTTCCTCTTTCGGGGAGGCCTCCTGTCCTAGAAGGCAGCTCTTATATTCCCATGACGGACCCAGGAGTCAGGCTGAGATCTGTACTGTATTAAATGGTGTAGCTTCTCACTTTTGTTGGGAAACCAGGGAATTGTGAAATTTGCATTTAGTCTTTTGCGAACAAAAACGGAAGCAATCGTTACAGTGGGGAGTGAATCGCGACAAAAAACCAGATCTACTAAAAACCAGATATTAACTTGACTACAAGGCGTTACCAACCACTCGCGTGAGCCACAAATGGGAAAACTATAACAAGAAAGAATCATAGGAAAAATACCTTGTACAATCCTCCTTCCCAAATAGTGTCCTTCTTGCCAGGTATAGCACATTCCCAGTTGAACAAATTCAGAGTACCGTCTGGGTTTTTCACTGGCTTGGCTATGAATCCGAACGGATGATCCTTGCGCCATGCTTTCCTCTCCTCAGCCAAACGCCCTGCTGCGATACCAGCCATTTCTGAAAATGGCTATTACAAAGCGAGCCACACATCTGAGAAATATTATGAGTGTACGCAGACCTACTGTAGGCCGGACAATCTACATATAGTAATGAAGGTTGAACAACAAAGTCACAACAAAATGAAAAATGGCAGAAATGAAAAATTCTGACAAGCAAGCTGCTATTCATCGAGGATACGAAGGATCGTGGTAAGAGCGGAAAGAATATGTATTGATGGGCAGCGGCTTAACAGCCAGATTAGCTGAGCGTCGAAGAGGTTCACTTGACAGTTTTTAAAAACAAAGACTCTTTGGAGTCTCGTGAAAAAAGCCAATTCTAATTACCATCCTACGTGACCGATTACATTACATTACCACACTTCCAAATCCAATGGCGAAAGTAAGTACCTGTTAAAAAACACCTACTCATATTTCTTAATGCGCTTAGTTGGGTCGCATCCCCAGTAGTAAAATAAACACCAATAAATAGGTTCCAATAAGAGCAGCCTTTAGAAAATGTTTCTCACTAGACTAGAGAGTACTTCACTCGACCATCAAGAATGTTTTAATTGGCTACCATTCGGTACCTGATGCACCTGACCAACAGACATAATTACGAATTCGAACGGGTCCAGCTCCGAATAAGATGGAACAACCCAACAGATGTAAATGTACAGCTCAAGCGAATAGGACATCTTTGTGGGATTTGGAAAGACTGTCTATGTATTAATTCTACGTATTTGATCAGACAAAAAAAGCTTCATGGTTAATTTGAGCCATGAAAACAAGTCGTTTCTGGTCAATCGACTGAAGAATAGCTGTAAAGAAAAATGAGAAGCCATTTGAAGCAAAACGGCACTTTGGAGCGTTACCCAATGGGAAGTGCGCCTTTTTGTCGTGATTCCATGCGATACCGCTTACTATAAGTTTGTATTGACTTAAGGCTAACAAAGCGAACATGTCAGTTGTGGTATAGCAATTATAAAAATTCCATTCGGGATAGTAACGATACTGATATTATAGTTCATTTTACTATAAAGCCCATGGATCATGTGACGCAAAGGACAACAGCACCACAGAGATGAACCTATAGGTAACACTGGAGTTGACAGTTTGGGTTATGCCACCAACGTCAATTGCGCTTAGGTGGTGAGTCGGATAGGGCCAATCCCTCGTGGGACAAAAACTGATTTAACTGACAGGCCGATTCCAAAGAGTATAAAGAAGAAATCCGCGAAAAAGCAAAGTTGGAAATGGTTGAGCCAAGAGATCCTAATTAACTTCAGCATTAGACCTACCAATCGACCCCAATATCAGAAAGCGTCAGAAAACTGTAGAGCTTATCCCATTCAGCACAAAATAAATGGAACATAAGTACGCAAATAAGCTCAACCGCGAACAAACTTCCCCTCATAATCTAAAAAACCTTACTTAAGTAGGAAAACAGAGAACAGCCATCATTGGCGAACCCTAACAACAAAGTATTCGAGAGAATTTGTATTTCCCAATAAAAAAAAACAAAACACCTGCTAACTTGAAATTTCAAAATACTTCACGACCGAAGGGAAAACTGGTACAACCTCAACTGCGTCCCTATGGCGGTAGCGATAAATAGGGTAAAGGAAATGCTAATGCAACACGGTGGGATGTGGACGGTGCAGACGCAAAAACCCGCGCCATTTCCGAATCGCATAGCAGATGTCCGGAAAGCTCGTCCACCGCACTCAACTCGTCCACCTCGAGGGTGCACTTTCGCGGAAACACTTCCAATGCCTTGCATAGGTATTGATTATCGTCACTGCGCGGTCCCAATCAATGTGTGACGAAATCGGGGATGGCGTTGCGAATATTTGAAGGTTACTTACCAGTAGGGTGAGTAATGTTAACTTATCCGCGCTTCTACCGCCGTAAAACTGGTTACTATGTCTAGTATGATTGTGACAATGGACTATAATGATAGGAATACTAGACCAACACAAAAAAACTGGGCTTTAACGGGATTCATAATCGTGCCCAAACGATTGCAAAAAGGACCAATAGACTCACCACCAGGCGTACGCCTGTCGGGAGTGACTTAGCGACAGCCTCTCAAATTTGAAAATGAAGCGTCACGCCAAAATGTTTACTTGATCCTAATGTATTCATGAAGTCAACTTGTCAATTGCTGCTTTTCGCCATGTTATGACCTGTAGGGAAGGTATTTGGCAGGTAAAAATGTGTTGAGACACGTGTTTAACACATTTTTACTTGTACCAACAACGTTCAAAACGGCGTGGCCACTTCATTAATTTTCAGTTTGTAACTCATAGAATCGATCCAACTTGCCACGTAACCCTGAGGTGGTTCGAACTGTGGATCACCAGCGCGCGCGGTCGCGAAGCGGCTGACTTGGATCGATGCCGGGAACGAAGCTTAGCCGCTTCGAGCGATGAAAATGTGTGGATAGTCTACGAACTAAGGTCAGCGTTGCGAAAGTCAAGGGGTTGAAGTGCCCAACAACCTCTCTATAAAAACAAAAAAAAACAAAGTAAAAAAGAACCAGACAGAACAGAACAGGTCACAAATGGGATCTCATGAAAGAGATGCCTATTGATCGAATGTTGTGTCATGGAAATAGTACGTAAACATTCAAAACTACGCCTACACATGCAAGCGTAAGGAAATATGTGTAATGTGTAATACAGACAACGCGTTGGATATCACCCTCATTCAGCAAGTTTGTTGCAGGAACTGTGCTGGGCAACGTAATTGTAATCGATTGTTTTTGTTGTTGACAGTGTAAAGCGCGATTTCAACACCTTTCTACCTGTTGTCCAACCGCTCAGTCAGATTTTAGATGGTTTTGAGTAGAGTTAAAAGTTGGCTGACGTGGTCCTGGACATATTTGTGGGCTCTTTGGTTCATTCTCGTCATTGTACTTGTATACATTCTACGTGGTCCACTAAAAATTACCGAGTCGATTGAAAATGGTTGGTTTTCACTAGAAACTTGTGAGTTTTTCCCTGCTATTTCAATTTTAACATTGCATTTTTGCGCTTTCTACTATTTTGTCGTTGGTATGCATGCTTTTAAGTTTGTGCTTGTATTGGGTTGATGGAGAACTTCTTTTCGTAGTGGAGCAACTACTTAATATTGACAGTGACATACTAAATCGGTGACTAGTCATTACAGGAAAAGTACGGCGCAGCTCACGGCGCCTCTTGTGCATTCTTCTTCATTAGTCACTGGCAATCTGAAATAGTTCAGACAACACAGTGTATCTGCAATCCTCGTTGAAATTTGGCATTTCCCAGGTGTTTATCTCCACCATCCGTAGCGGAATGTAATGCGATAGATCCCAATCGCATGCCATTTGAAGTAAACAGCGTGAATGCGCGATGAATTCAACTGCATGAACAGTGTCATGACAACCCTCCGGAACGATTCCACACAGGAATTTGTCGCTAAGGTTTCGTTGTAGCAGAGTCTCTAGCCGTTTGCCTTCCGTAGTGATGAACTTGTTTCACGGATTTCTGCCATTGAACCCTGGCATTACAGTCGGGTCTTTATTCTCGAGACCCTGTTGTAGTATTGAAGTTGATTGATTAAGTGGAATTACAAAACTTATAGTAATGGCTACTACACCTCAGTGTTAATGTAGTTGGAAAGAAGGTATGTGGCTAATTACTAGCTGCAGGAGGTGAGACTAAACGAAGAGACGATTCTGTTTCTTTAGTAACTGCGCTGAGGGCGAAAGTGGTGTAGTGGTAAGTGGCGCACTGGGTATGGGTTCAAATCCCAGTTCGATATTCGCAAGTCATTGTACAGGCCGCATACGCATTCAATACGTCACTACGATACTGAATGGGAGTCAAATGCGTGGGCACATCCTTCAGACGGGATTGATTAACGCCCCAAGACTTAAAGACTCTAGTGACTGATGGCGTCTAGATATCTTCCATTCATGAGATATGCGTAAAGTGTTGCTGTGATATTTTAAATGTCATACAAAAGTTGTCAAGTTCTGCATCAACCCAAGGCTTCATTAACGTCGTCACAAAGCGCGTTGTGTTCATGTAAAGAGCTGTTGCATTAATCAAATATGCGCTGATGGCAACTAAGTTATAAGCATCACAGCCGTGCGATCAATCGTCGTAAAGTAAAAACATGACTCGTTTTGTGACAGCGGTTGTGCTTATTCATGTACGCGGGAAAGATATCATACTTGTAGCAAATCTGCTTTCTTTCAGCCTCGTCCTATTTCAACAACTTAACACCAAAATTCTATGTTGCGTTAACTGGTACCTCAAGCCTTGTTTCTGGAATAATATTGATTTTTGAATGGTGGTACTTTAAAAAGTAAGCAGAAGCATTAACCTTTGCTTCTTCCTATTCTCTTTTTGTATTCTATATACTTATAGTAATGCGGTAGATTCCGTGAGCGAGGATGGAAGCGATAATGAGGATGCGCTGGAAAATCAGAAAGCAATACCAGGTATTTTCATCTCGCTCTGGCGAACAACCAAGCGTCATTTTGTAACATCAGCCCTGCTTCTCAATACGGTAAACACTAGTAGCGAGTTTGTGATTTCCATTTTCAGAATGCAAAGTCTGGCGGAATCCAATGGCTTTGTTTCGTGGTGCAGAATATAATCGTGTGAAAACCGTGATGAATCTCGATCCGCTCACATACTACGATATGAATTTGTCGGCACAAGACCATCAAAGTTTCTTCACTAGCGATGAGGATGTAGGGAGGCCTGATTATGATAGTAAGTTCAATGCAATTAGACTATTACCTTCTAACTCTCAATTATTTTCGCTCTAAACAGTTCAGTTTTCTTCATTCTCTCAGATGACTATAGACCGAGTTTTCTCCTTGTTTTTCTTTTCAAACCAGAATATCCTTTTCATTAGTCAACAGGTTGGCGCAAACTACCATAAGATGGGTTGCTACCGTTTTAATCTTCATTCTATATACAAACATTTTATTTATTAAATCCACATTCATTACACTTCACAGTTTTTGTGCTTTTGTGTCCTGTTCCCCTCCCCAAGCATTGTTCGAACATTCAATTTCAGGATATTTCCCAGATTTCCTTAGTTCTCGTTTTTCTTTCACCTGGAGATTTGTTCTCCATGTCTCTGTCAACGCGCCGTTCTCACTGGTTTTGGTGCTATCTAGTGGCACGCTTCCTCTCTCCATCTCTTTCTGTATAGGACGGAATCATTTCGTTCCTCAGCTCTGCACAGTTTCTTCTCTACCTGTCTACCCTCTTCAAATAGTACCAGGAGATTACCGTTCTCATCCCACCAATATTCTTGGCCTGTCCACGTCAAAACGGTCTATCGAACTGTTTTAGATTCGTAGCCTTGGCTAAGCACTTTGCTACCATGTTTTTGTAAAATATCTTCACTTTCTTTCTTATGGTGTCCTTGATTTATGCTACCTTTTCAGTAATGCAAGTTGCGTGGCGTGAAAGGGATAGTGCGTCCCGAATAAATGCGGCTCGAGAAGCTCTACACATAAACCCTACGTGTGCCCCAGCTCTCATATTATTAGCCGAGGAACAGTGCGAGACGATAACGGAAGCAGAAGTGATGCTGAGGTTGTTGGCGTCTTTCGAACCTAGTTTACAGTTCTAGGCAACCAAAACTGATAGATGCTACTTTTTTCAATTCAGACGAGCTTTGAAAGCGGTTGACAGTAGCCTCGGCCAGTCGCAATCTGGTCAAATAGTTCCACACGAACGCTCAGGGGATATGTATCGTCAAGGGCGACGTATGTTTTGTAGTTGAACGAAGGCCAGTTGTTTATCTGCTCTGAATTTATCGAATTTGTAGGTCGAGATTTCCACATGCAAATATATATTCGACGTCGGCTCGCCATGTGTGCACGGAAACAGGGTAGGGTACGCGAAGCTATCAAAACGTTCAAAGATGTGAGCTCTGATACATTTTTTTCTTCTTGATTGCCTTGTGTATGTATGCGTGAGACATTTGGTACGCCAATGATTGGGCTATTCTTCGATACTGGTTATTTTAGATTATTCGTGACGGCTCTATGAGCAACATACTAGGCGTACAAGAAAACCTCATCGAAGCTTGCCTGGAAATGCAAGCGTACGCTGATGTGCAGGCACTTCTTGTTCGCTACGATGGTTTTGGTGAGTATTCTCAAATGTTGTGAATTCAAAGATTCTGTCATTCACCTTTGCACCTATAGATTTACGAGAACCGAGATCTGCAGTTCTAAGTTATACATCTGCCCTTCTCAAGGCTCGTGCTGTTGCTGACAAGTATGTCTGTTTCGGTTTGGAAATCCATAAATTTAATCTTTAGTAATAGAGCATTTTTCCTGAAGGTTCGTTGCGGATATTTCTACAAGGCGGGGTCTATCGTCGGCAGAAGCGACTGCAATCGAAGCCATAACCAGAGCAATCGAATTCAATCCCCATGTGCCTCTTTACTTACTAGGTAGCAGTTTGCTCTTCTAGGTCTCCAGTTTAAATTCTTCTCTTGTTCGTGTTATAATTACTTTTCCAGAGTTGCGCCCAATGATTCTCCCTCCCGAACATTATTTGAAGCGTGGAGATTCGGAAGCCATTGCGTACGCGTTCTTTCATATACAGCACTGGAAGCGAATTGATGGCGCCCTACAACTTCTGCAATATACGTGGAAAGGAGGTAGTGAAGGGTTATTGTGAAGTTAGGCATTTACTGAGTTGAACGTAATTGAATTTAACTGCTTTTAGATTTTGCATCACGTTTTTCAATGAGTGGATATTGCTATCCGTATTCACCTCAACTCGAATCAGCTGACAGGGAACTCCTTCCTGGTGAGCATCAGTATTACAATAGTCTAGTTCGCGTGAATAGAGGGGCATCCAATAAAAGTGAACGATAATCGATATGGGTCATATGGAACAGGAGTATTGTCATTTGACAGCAATGCCCACCATGTTTTGCTTCGATGCATTAATAACATTTTCACGCGTCCCACTACTGTGGCAGGTGGGTCGCTTACTTCAGAAAGGTGTCGCGTACTCTCGCCCTTTTATACGATTAACCCATTGACGACCATGCAGTCCACATGTGGACTGCAGTTGTATATTTCATTTATCGCCACTTTTTAACGATCTTTCTTGTCAAAACATAAGATCAGGTCGAAGTTAAACCATATACTGTGTGGTCCCAAGAAAGCTTCTAATTTTGCAATTAACATATAATAACAATAAGCATAGACATCATACATACTTAAATTTTAGCCTTTGCTTTCCAGGGTATATCTACTTTCCGCACTAATTTAGACAGTTTTACACCACACCGGTGTTTTTTTGAAGAAACATGTGGCCCTTCAATGATTTCTTTTTTGAAAGGAATTGGTGATTGAGGAACTTCTCCTCATCAGAATCCATCACTAGCTGACTAAAATTGGAGTGCCACCTACCATCATCGTTAGTCATATCCTAAATTTGCAAACTCAGAAAAAATTAAACATCTTCCAGTTCAAAATTGAAGAAATTGGCCGTCCGGGACCATGCAGTCCACATGTGGACTGCAGTGATGGTCGTCAATGGGTTAAACCCACTTCCAGAAAGACTTCCATATAGCACCAACCTTTTTGATTAACGATTTGGTCCATTCCATGTCACAAGTAATGGTCCAGGGATACTAGACTCTTTTATCCAATACATCAATTCTTTTTTTTGTTATTAAAGCAGGGTAAAACGCGACATCAGCATCAGTCGCTATTCACACTGAAGCATAGCTCAACAATCTTTTTGTAAGAAGGAACCAGAGAGCGGTCATAAATTGACTCATTTGGCCGCAAATTCGAGGGCTGAAAACAAGGGAATCTAATTAGACTCTGCTCTATCCCCGTGACAATGGTGAAGCTTAGGAGGCAGATCAATACCCAAGAGAAGCTGGTATTCCTAATGGTGAACATTCAGCGTGGCACGAAGTCTCTGTGTTCCCGAAAAAGGAAAGTCCGGTATGGGCATTGCTACAAACTCTGTCGTGCCTGGCTGTATGCACAATAGCACTTCTAGTTCATCACTATCCGACGAGTACTTTCGAAGCCATCCACTTTGTGAGTCTCTTTTTACTCGCTTATATTGCGCCGGCATTTATTTTTGGAAAAATATCTAGAATTCGATTTGATCTCTCTGCTGGGTGTTTCATTAAGACGTTAGCAGTTCCCATGTTTATCGAAGATTTAATTCCTTTCTTTAAAAAAAGCTGAAGTTAAGACTTCGGGCTTAGCCTGGGATTTCTTTCAAATGTGGAATGATTGATATCATGTCGCACTTTCAATTTTGAAATCTGAGAACCAGAAATCAACATCGTCCTCTTCCTATTGTTGTTTAGAGAGCTCTAAGATTTGTTGCAAGGGTTTATTCAGTGGGTCCCTTGTAGCTTATTTTCTTTTTATTGAAAATAATCTTGAAAGGCGGTACTACTCCTTTCTGGGTGACTTCTAAGTTTTTGCTAATTATTTACAAAGCGTAATTTTGATGTGAATTACTTCAGGCTCTTTCTGCAAGCGTGTTAGGAGTGCAACGACTGATTGCACACTTTCATCACTGGATTCCTGAAAATGTGATCGGTTTACTCGCTTCGAAACCAGCTCAAATTGTAATAGAAAACATGTAGTGTAAGCTGATTTTGCAGCGTATCTTCTCTTGGGTATTGTAATTGCAATTAAAAACCGTTTCCCATTTTAAAATCTCTCTAAGCTGTGATATTTCTTTCAATGTCGCAATTCTTTTTTGTTTCAGGCGAAAGTTCTCTGTTCCTTTTTGTTGTCCATGAATATCTTTTCTCATACAAACGTGTTTTCTGTCTATTCCATGTTTACTGCTTTCCTAGTCGACAGCTTTTGATATTAGAATTATGAATAACAACGATGTCTTTTTTTTTNTTTTTTTTTCGTAATTTATCTGATCTCATTATCTATCATCTGTCCTTCTATAACATGCATAGCAATGAAGATTTTCACTTTGCTTTGTCGATTGTGGTGACGACCAGTCGATGATCGATTGAAAACTACTTGAAGAAATGAGTCATCTTGTTTGACATTCGAACCAAATCTATGAATGTAGGGCTGCATATGTCGTAATGTCGGTATTGTCTCCGCCGGATGTAAGGAAGCTTGTGGAAGCGCTCCTCAGCGATTTGCGACAGCTTTCTACAGAAGCGAAAAAGAAACATAATCATGTAAAAGAGGTAAGTCCATCAATGGCACAAATTGGTGCTCTGCCATGTCGAACTGGTACATTCAGACAATATGAATATAGTTAATTAGGTTCGAAAGGGGGTTGGGCACACCTTGGCTCTTCACTGTTATTGTCATCTTCGATCATTACCTCTGCCAGTAACTTAAGACTGCAGCTTTCTTTCTGCTTGCATTTATCGTGCTGTGTTCATTAGCTTCTTAATCGAAAATTATCGCGGTCTCAAAAAGTTTTCACAGCTGATCCTTTGTTGTTAAGCGGAGGATTCCGAACAAAAACAAATAAATAAAGTTATCAGCGGCCTGCAAATTTCAACAGCTATATAATTGGCAACTTTATCGACGCGCTTTCAATAGTGGTCATAAACTATCATTTGTGAGTAATCGAAATTTGGAGTTAGCCGTCCAGTGGTCATCATCAAAGCTATCGTTTGATTAAGTAATAGTTTCATCTCTATCGAGTTGTCTCTCTGTTCACTCATTCAGCCAGTTCAAAAATTTAGGCAGCCGAATCAGGCGTTGTTCGAGTACGAAACATCAGTACAGCATCAGGCGAAGCAACGCTTCTCACTAATTTGCGGGCAGCCAGCAATGAATTGCTTCATCCCCTCATTCTTGCGTGTGCTACCCGTCAAACCCGCCTTGTTCAAATCGCTTTGCAAAGTATACAACGGCTAGTTCAACATCGAATTCTAGAAGCGGTAAGTTCACTTAACGTGTGTAAATAGTAATTAATGTCTTTAAAAGATTTTTTTTTGCCCCAATATAATTGAGGTCAAGTTTCTCTAACTTTCGAAATAAATCATTTTCAGAGTTGTGCAAATGTTGTGGTAAGCGAATTATGGGGTCTAGTAGAGGTCGAGTGCGAAGAACTTCGAGTTCTGCAAACCGTTCCTCCGCTGGTATCAGCTGATCTACTAGTTACTGGAAATACTCTTGCAAAGGTTTGTTGAATGTAAATTGCGTTTGGCCATTCGAAACTGTTCATGGAATATGTGTTCCAAATTTTCTAGATATTATAGTTTGTTTTTTTGGTTTTCCCTTTTTTGTTTCAATTTGATATTTATGTTCTTACTTTTATCGTTTTAGTGCATTGTTATGTGTTTTCGTATGCATTTCGCTAAAGATCCTGTAGTTATAAATGCGGCTTCAGCAGCTGTGCGACAGTTAGTGGGATGTGTACTCGAGCGTGTTATACAAGCAAGTTTTTCCCTTTATGTTCTGGTATTATAGAGTTCGCGTTTTTTGTAATTACCCATGCACAACTGGATGGCAATCTTATCAGACCTTAAATTCAGGAGGATGGCGTATTTAGCACAGAGTTGACCGTAGTACCATCTTCTGGAGGACGTCCATCACCAAGATCCGCACCTCCGACGTTACGGCCATGCGCCGCTGACGCGTACTTGCTATTCAAGGTATTTATGTGTGGAGTTCTTCGTATTTCATGTTTAAAGATGATTTTTAGGACCTTTGCTTGTTGATTAACGCTAAGCCAAGTGTATGGCTTGTAGGAATTCATGAAATGACAAGAACTCTTGGACTAGAGCTCATCGAAAATATTTTGAAAAGTTATCCGGGAGTGTTTTTCAGGGTAAGTGGCAAAATTTTCTTCATAACAAAAATACTATAAATTCTAATTTATAACTCATCCTAACGGGAGTAATGTAGCGAGAAGTGGCGCACTAACATATAGCATGCTCAGTGGATTTAGTCCTGATGCGACCCTCGCCCAGGCCAACCAAGCATTCCATTTCTCCGGAGTATTTAGTACCAGACTCCTCCGGGAGATTAAAAGCGTTGAGTTGTACCTCGGCCAACCACCGGAAATCATTGTATAGGCAGCATAGGCATTTAAACACCACTACGATTTGAAGAGAAGTTGAATGCGTAGCACATCCTAGAAATTGGAACTAATCAATCCCATAAGACTTCACTATTCACCACATCTATTTTTCAGCATCCCGAGTTCTGTGATCTATTAAAATCCGAAGTATGCCCACTTGTGATCAAGTTATTTTCCCCAAGTTTGAAATCAGCGCACGTATGTTTCTTTTATTGACACTCTTGTTTTTATTTTCCTTCGGCTTAGGTCGTATTTCTCTATAACAGATTTTTTAGTGAGTAACTTTTGAAACCATACGAGTTATTGCTCTGATCAATTCTTAGTTTTTAATTGAAGAAATCGTTTTGTAATTGGGTAGTTGGGTACAATCCACAATCGAACGTGCAGAAGTTTCACTTACTTCTCATTGAACTGTAATCAAACATAGGTTTCATCTCAACATCCATTATCTCGTTCTTCTGCCGGCATGGGCCCACCGGCAGATCGACCGTATTTCCCTATTGCTATGCGGCTTGTTCGAATTATTCTTTGTCTGATCTCACTCTATCATCAATTATTGGTAAGTATTTTCGAACCCTGTATCCCTTCGTTCCAAGTTATACTTCGAATTCAGCCCACGGAGTGTGAGATTTTTTTGTCGTCATTAATCAAATTTGTGGACGTTGATCGTAGGGGTTGGCAACGGGCGCTTTCATTAGAAGCACTTCATCGAGTTGTAGCGAGACCGGACATCGTCAGGTCAGTCAAGCATATATCTCCTTTGCTATCATCATTGTTTCAATGATGCGATTCAGGTGGTTGTGTGAAAATTTTGATGCGAGGTCGAATTCTACCAAGGTTTTGGAACATTTGTCGCATAGTATATTCTGTGTTATTCAGCAAAGTTTTGTGCCTTCTAAAATGAGCTCCGGTCAGTTCACGTCTCTTCAGAAGCAGTTATACTAAAGCTTCTCAGAGATAAGGGATTCTCCGAGAATAGCAGCTGTTTATTTTGTTTTTTTAGTAGAAGCTGATATAGACACCGACATTCTTCAGCCGAGAGGATCTTCTGGATTTTATTTCTGCAATGTATGGCATCCGTTTGTGGAGCATTTATCGGCAAAGAAATCCATTTTGTACGTCAATTAAGAGGCGTTTATATATATAGATCTCTTTTTTTTTAGATCTTTAATTTTAGATTGGACAGCCTTGAACGACACGAGGCCGGAGTGCTGCCGGAAGGGTATGTGGTGTCGCGAGCGCATTGCGCTTTGGTTGATTTTGTGCAAGCTGTGTACGCAGCAGTAGACGCGCTCAGCTTGCAAGGTAGATTTTTGACTAAATTCTAACCTTTCGCTTTCGTTTTCATTGGGTTATTTTTCAGAAAACGGAGACAAGAATAATAATGAGCATGTTGCCGATTCAATATTCACCAGTTGCCAACCGAATTTACTGACTGCCCTGAGCCTCTTGTTATCAGCGAGGTAAACAGGTTCTTTGACTTACGTTGTAATTGAAATTCAAGCTGTTTCATGAAAGTACATTTTTGTAATGTTGCTAACGTACAACGTTTAAGCGCTGACGAAACGGTGACGGATCAGCTTCTGTGTGCCTTGTCGACTCTTATGTCAGTTGGATGCAAGTTGAAAGCAATTTCTGCCAGTTTGAATTGTTTGTATGTTCTCTGCTGTGCTTGCTTACCTTCAGTAACTTATTTGCGTTTGTATGCCGGAGCGGAAATACCATCGAGTGATGGTGAGTTTTTATTTGTAATATTGTCATATTTTATTTGCTGTCAAAGAAGGAGAGAAGGAGTATCCATTGTATTCTGGAAATTCTATCTGATTCAACGAAAGTTTATTAGCCCCCGGCTTCTCACAACCGTTTGTTCTGCATCTCATATTAACTTTGATAGCTCTCATGTCAGTCTGTATTAGTCATGTCTCATTAATAAACTCTAACCCAGAGCACATAATATTCTGCAAACTAAATGCACTATGTCACGGGTCAGAAACTTGAGAACATCGGATTTTTTTGTCATAACAGGAAAAAAGGGAAAAATCTCAGCAAATAGCTCAACTGCCAACAGCCCAGCAGTTTTTTTTTCAAGGATTCTGTATAATTGTATTATTTGTTCCCTCTCAAAGTTTTTAAGCCTTTTTTGTCACTGCCATTCTTCTGAGCTTCTCTAAAGATGGTCACCTTTCAAGAAAAACTGGAAGAGTTGGTATTCGATTCATCATCAGCTCTGCACGAAGTTGTTGTCTCTGGTACTCCCTGCCCATCATCTGTCGTAGTTCCAGACAAATGGAACGATCAAGTGATGGTGAGCTCCAGTGTTTCTAGCTGTTAGTTTGGATTGCTCACCTATTTTGCTTGTTAGACAGTCGTTTTACAGTTGACGTCGCGTAACTTACAAGCAGCATCTATACTTCTCAGTTCTATCTGTGCCCACGCTACGTATTTGGACGAGCTCTGGTTCTGTTGCAAAAAGATGCCAGCGTTAGCTTTGGTTAAGAATTGTTTTTCCAGGCATTTGAGTCTGTTGACGTGTCAACATATTGCTTGGCTGCTCGGCATCCGGCCATCCTCAACGGGTATTTTTGCACGGGAAAAGGCAGAAGTCGAACAGCAGAGTACGTTTTTTTGACCAGAGAGAGTCTGTGCACCTACGTTTCCGTCGTTGTTTCCGTGACTTGACTAGATTAGGTTACCTTAAAGGATGTTGTTTCAGATAATGCAAACGTGATAACAACAGCAGCACTCACTAAAACACCAGTTCTTGTAAGAGATTTCTCTTTTTAGTAATTCTCTATTCAGAAATTTCTTTTGAGAAGTTCCACCGGGTGATAATCACTAGAATGTTTCAGGCTGCTCTCCTGGATAAGGTAGCCTGTTCCTCTGTGTCACTGTCAGATGCTTCCTTTTTGAAGGCCATAGAGGCTATGATGAGGTGCGGTTACATTAAAGAAGCCTTCTTTTTGAGTAACTATTTCCTCTTTTGTTTTCCTTCTTATTTTAAAATCAGTCGGGTTCCTTTTAGTTGGGTTGCAGTTAAAAATCTTATTCTGTTCAATTCAATGAATGTTTGAAGAAAAGGACATACTTTCTCTAGTAGAATTTCCTTCTTCTCGAACTTGGGATGCCCTTTTATACAACCATTGAGCAGTTCAGTCTTATGATTTCCTTTTTCGTAATTGGCTCATTACTAATTCTCCGAAAATAGGCGAGTTAAAGTCAGCAAAACACTAAATCACACTCATTAGTGTGTTTCTCCTAGCTAATACTGTCTTTATTATTTCGTCCTCGTAACTAATACTGTCTTTTTGTAGGATATCAGATGAAAATGTGGCAGTAGCAGCCACTGGCAGGGAGTGTTCGCTTTTTCCCTTGGCAATGCTGCTTCGATTTGCGTCTTTGAACCTACATCGTCAGCAGGTCTTCTGGGATCGGGTCACAGCCCATTTTATAAAGGTGCAGAAATCAGCAGCAATTTTTAATGGTTTTGAGCCAGGCTCTGTGAATGGCATCTTCAGGTCTGCGGCCATGTAAGTCCATCGTTACGAGAATGGGCAGCAGTCGCTCTGTCGAGTATCATTAAACAAGCATTTAAAGCAAAAACCGACTTATCAGAGGCAGTGAGTTCCCTTTTTTCTAATTTTTGCGTATCTTAGAGATGGCTAGAGCTTTTCAAGGAACATCAGTCTATCACGCTCAAAACGCTACGCTCGATGTGCTCGATTCATCAGGCGGACGTACAAAGACGTCAGCTTGATTGCTTGATGGCCCTACTTCAAACAGACGGCGCTCAGCTCGTGCCCGAAATGTGGCATCATGTTATTTTTATAGTTGCTGCGGTCGTCGACGAGGAAAACTGGTATGACATTGAACTTGATCTGGCCTGGCTGGCCTGGCCCCTATCCATTTTTTTGAAATGATAATGATAATGGTGATGTGGTAAACGTAGGTAAGCAAGGTCTGTAAAGTTCAGAAAGTAGTATTAGCTCTTTGCTTCCTCTACTCTGCAGTCCTTTCAACAATTTCGGTCCATATATTACAATCCCATGTTGAATGGCAGAGTTCTTGGTAGATGTCGCCCATTTTCTGTACGCACATAGTTACCATCCGAAGGAGTAGTAACTTTTGAGTGAAAATTTGCCCTAGTTACAAAGTGCTACTATTAGTAGAACAACTCTATTATGGCCTCAAAATCATTTGACCGAATTTAGCTGTGACGAAGCGTTGGTGCGGCAGGGCTACCTTGGCCTGAGACTAGTCGCGGCAGATTTCCTCCAATCACTTCCATTTGAGTGTATCTCTGTGCTTGTGGAAGCAGTTGCTCGATATGGGAAACAAACGGCTGACCACAATATTTCTTTGTCGGCTCTTACACAGCTGGTACGTTGATTTTCTACCCACTTTCATTTTCGGGCCTTTGTCACGTTTGCTTTGTTTCTTCCAGTGGACAATCTCCGATTTTGTTTTTCGCAAAAGCGAGGTCGTGGGTGCCGATGCATCCGAGAAGGTGAGATGTATAAATTTTTTTCTTTCGCGTTTTTTTCATTGTCTCACTTGCGTCATTTCCTTTTCTGCCTCAGCGTGTAGTTGTGTGACATTTGATATTTGACTGTGGATCCAGGTTTGGCTGGTACTGTACACGTGCCTGTCTGAGCTGTGCGTGGACGTTCGGCCATCTGTCCGCAAAAGTGCTTGTCAAACTCTTCTTCAAACGGTTGCCTCTCATGGTCACGCATTGCGGATCAGCACTTGGAATCATATGATATGGCAGGTAAGGGCAAGCTCCGAATATTGTGAGTTCACTTGCGATACGTATGGTTCGTGGGTGGGAACATCCGTTCTAGAATTTCAAAATTTGACACCCACTGAAGTAATTCTGTACAGATTATCATGCCGTTGTTGGATCGAGTACGTGTGCAGACAAGGAGTGCATCGACAGAGCGTGCAAGTGGAGCACTTCTGATGCATCACTCTCGAGACACTCAACAGAAACAGTGGACCGAGACTTGCATACACACTCTATCGGCTGCAGCGAAAATATTTGTTGCTCAACGGAAAGCTCTGTTAGCTCTTGGTATGTTTTGACTTGAAAAATATTATTGATTCTAACCAGAAACGTATTTATTTACAACTCGTATCGTTTTGTTCTTACTATCTTCGATGGGTATGAAACATTGTTTGAGCCCCGATCTTTATGAACGCGCCTTCAAATAAAACATGGCTGGAATGGCTTATAAACGGCTTTGATTTGGAGAATTTTCAGAAGACTTTGGATCAGCGTGGGAAGCACTTTTGTCGTACCTTGAATGGGCCTCTTGCTACCATAATGCCGAGCTTTCATTATCTGCTCTCAAAAGCTTTCAGGTTTGTTGCGACTTTGTTTCTAAAATTTAATCTCGACTCGGGTTTCTTATCGTTCCAGGAGGTCCTTCTGGGAAAGATATCATCTCAAACATTGGATATCAATTACAAAGAGCGTGCAAGCAGGTGGAATAATTTTTTTTGCACTTCGTGACACTTGTTGCCATTTTAGTCATTTTACTTGTCTCGATTTCAATCTTTCTAGATGAAAATAACCTGAGGCACTGAAAATGCCTCATTTTGATTCATTACTGATAGAGTACTCTCGATTTCTGCCTTCCTCATTCAGTGTCGAAAGCTCTACAGAGGACGTGACGCCATATCTTCCTCTGCCCCAATGGATTGAATCATGGAACGTGAGTTGGTTTTTTGGACTTTTTTGGTTCCGGTCAATATGGAACATAGCATGATTAAGTTGAAGTGTGAAGGAAACTTCTCAATGAAATTTTTACCATTTGGTTTGTTTTATTTTGTGGGAGCGAATCGGGAAGTAAGGGCCAAAGGCGATCAGGAACTGTAATGCTCTCCTGACGTTATTTAGCGACGACAACCTTGTAAAGTAGTCAATCCCTGCATACTGTTTTATATTTCTCGACCCCAGGCTTTCGTGGAATGAAATAGCCTCATCAAAAATATAAATACTATTTTAGGCTTGGCAACGAATATCGCGTGGTTTAGCTCGGATGGGTACGAGCGCAACAACCACAGAAAGTAAGTATACTATAGCTTTTGGTCTTACTTTTCCAATAAATTTTTGATTAGATGGTGAGAAATCGTCCTATGTCCCCGGTCCTTCTCATCTCACAACTCTTCTTCATATCTTTCCACCACTTTTCGAACATGTGGCTCGTCATATATCTGTAGATGAGCTTAAAGCTGAACAACTGCCGTCGGTACTTGAGGTGCTCACTTTTATATTCTTCTAGTTATAGAAAAGCTCCAACTTCCTCAGTTCTATTTAGAGCTTGGTCAACGTTCCTGTGCCAACGGAACAGGTGCCTTTTGTGGTGCATTCATCACAGTCGCATATGTCCCCCACACAGGAAGCGGTACTCGAAGCCATTCGTTCTATTTATAACGTGAGTCTTAGTGGATTACTGGAATGCTCGTAATCAAAAGGGATGATTAAAGTAATTTTCTATCGTTCATTTCATCGATTTGTCTCTGACTGGTTTTATCCATGGTCTTATTGGATTCGTTTGTGCTGAAATTGAAAAAAGCTCCCCAGTAATGTTAAATTTGAAAGCTGAAGTTGGCGATGTTTCGAACGAAAACTGATAATTTATCTAGTGAATATTCCAGGAGTGCACATCACAGGGAAGTGCTCTACGTGATGCATTGGCTGATCAAATTAGGCAACTCCTCAGGTTTGGTGCCATGTCGGTGAAGAGTCCCGTGGGACATAGACCGATCACGACTTTGTCTGGTCAAAAAGACTACGTGAGTGTTTGAGAATTGGTGGCTTGCTTAACCAACTATGAATTACCGTAGTATTGACAATATGGTGAGAGTAGGCATGTTTTCACCTAGAGTTCAGTTCTTTACCAAGTTTCCAAGGTGTTCAGCGTTTACCAGTTGTTGTGCGAGAGTTGCCACAAATTTCAAGTTTATATAAGCCAACTGGTAGAGCACTTTCACGTTATTTATTGCAATAAAACCTTTCCTTTTACTCCAGTGAATGCTTTTTAGCGTGAATGGGCGTTGCAATGGGTGATCCCGTTTGCGGAGACCTCGCTGCGGATGGCAGTAGAGTTCTTCACGGCTACGGTTGCGTATCCGGAAATCATCCGCTCTCTTGTCGTCGTAGACATTGTCAAGGTAAGTAGGATGTGTTTGGGACCCTGAACTAGAGTTTATTCTTTGAACGAAGACTTGGCTTAATAAGAAAATGTTTCTGTAGAAATCTGACTACCGTCCGTTACAGTTCTTGGGAGAGCCTTTATACATGAAGTATTCATGTCTGTCTCCAACAACTTGGAAGCTAGCAGCTTCGTCGCTGATGACTGTGCTGCGGATAGCGGTGCCACTTGGACGGCAACAAGGTTTTCCGGTCTATTCTTCTCGAAATTGACACTTGCAAATGTAAATGTTTTACAGTTGAACATTTTGCACCGCTTTGGCCAGCAATTTGTGACACCCTCGAGAAATTCCTTTTTACTCCAAAGTAAGTAATGTTTTTTTGAGACTTTTTGATCCCTGATTGGGTCAAATCAAGTCTACATTATAACTGTATTGCTTTATTTCTATGTAAATCACAAACCTCAGTTTACGCAATCTGTTAGTGCTTCAGCGTTTGTCCGAGGCTAGCGGCTGATGAACGTAAAAGAGACGAGTTGGCCGAATGTCAGGTTGTGGAGTTGGTACGATCGGAATTGTTGCTGCATTCTGCCTGCTTACCACCAGCGACAGTTCAACGACTTATTGCCATACTGAATCGAGGTTCAATCAGTCAACTGGATCCCACAGACGTTTTGGGTTGGCTTTAATTTTGATATGCTGTAGAGAGAATATCAAAGCAATTGCTTTGACAAAATGATCAGTCAAGCTTTCTGGGTGTAGTTCCTTGAAGGGTAACGGCTAGTGATTGAATTTCTGTCAGAATGGAAACCTGCGTAGTTTTTGTAAGTGTGAGCGGGAGCGCTTTGTGAGGAAAGTTGTTTCCAGCTTCAGACTCGCATGCGCAGCGAGTTGAGCTGGCTCGTACTTGCTTCGACGCCCTACTTTCAACATCGAACGAAGGCAATGGGCGACTTGGAAATGTGGCCATTGCAAGTTTACTTCAGAGATGCTCTCAGGTACGTCAATATTTCTTATTTTCTGCAATAAGTTTTCGAACATTTTACGATGCCTTGACCATTTTGAGTTCGAGAATTTGTCATTCCACAAATCTGTGGGTACTAAAGTGGTTGCAAGTGTAGAAGTGCGTATATCGTCGTGATCACGAATATTGCTGCCACGCGTTAACGATACTGCCGAGACAACTTTATTAGCGCCTCAAACTTGGGTAATTAAACCATGAAATCAACAGTAACAAACACCAGTCAAACAATTACTACGTATATTGTGCAAGAGACTTCTACCGTTATGATGATAAGAGACTTAAATCGTTAATATGATATGAAGAACTTCAATCGCTGAGTGATATAAGGCGGCGCACAAGGGCAATATAAGGAAATGATCATAAGAAGCTTACGGGGGATTCCGATCTATATATGAAAAAGAAGATAACAGGGGAGATTCGCAATGTCGAATGATGCTCTGAGCGCAGCGTTGCCGTCATAATAAACCCGCGCCTTGGGCGCGAAACCACTTTCGAACTACTGATGGAGAAGATCATATGGCGACGAGTGCAATCGCGGCTTAACAACCGCCATAGGTACCACGAAAGTTGTGGAGGAGCTAGCGTTCTTCATCGTTGGCTTAGTTCATTGGCAACATTTCGAGCTAGCGTTTGTTATGACAGTTCATTTTTAAGAGTGGGCTTCAGATAACCTGGGTCGCCCCTATTGCGGAGCATTCGCGCGGCTACAGCCTTATGTCTACTTTGCATCCTGTTATGAGCAAATAATGACTTCATATTTGTATTGACATTTTATCGCATACATCATAATGTGATGGTAGTATCGTGCAGGTTATGAACGACTTTGTACGAGACTGGAATGGAATAGGTGATTTGCGATTGCCACGCGGTCGAATAGCCGAAATCACATCTGCATTGCAAGCTGTGGACTCCCTAATTGGACGTCTAGCCAGGTCGGTTTATCGTAAAATCTGGTAAGCTTAACAATGCAGGATTAAAGCTGCCTCCATACACTTCCTTTTTTATTTTTGGTGGTGGAGCGACTGTTTATTTAATTATTGTTTCATCTAGCTCTTTTTTGTCATTTTCGATACATTCTTTATGTTCGTAGAAGTTTTTTTCTCTAGGGAACCGTCTCAATCGGAACTGTACGCTCAACTGGTCTCACTGTACCCAAGCGTGGTCGATGTTGTGGGTTGCACGCGGTCAGATCCTCTACTGGAAACTCAACTCATCGCTACTTTGAAATCCTATCAAACTCTGCTGCTGTTACAGGCGGTCCCGAAGCGCTTAAATAAGGAAAGCTAGCGCAATTGTGAAATTTCAGCATTTAATGAGAGCTTCATTTTAATTCTTGCCAAATGCTGTTGACATATAATAGAATCGTAAATATCTAGGCTCAGGTCCGCAGCACTTTTCGGTGGTGCTCGCCTGTTCGTTTCGCTCATGTTGCCATGTGTGCACCGGCTTAGGACGCGCGCGGTTGCGATGCGTCGTCATCTGCCGCTTAACCGTGCTCGTTTTATGTAAGCGTGTTTGCTTAGCATGAATATCTGACGAAAACGAGTAAAGCTGTTATAATACAAAATTCTATCACATGTATACTACATTTATTTATTGCTAATCTCTAGAACATGTTCTGATATCAATGCTATTTGTTACATATTTGTTGTTGTAAACATGGAGTACTATACCGGTGCTTTTTTGTTGATTGTTCTATACTATCTACTAGAGTTGTATCAGATAGATTCGGACAAGCTTGAACATAGAGAAACCAATTCAAACATTCCTCAGCGTTTCTGTCGCCGATTAATTGTTCAAGCTGTTCGAACTCGTTGGTATAAGCCTATTCCTTCATGTGATGCACGATTTCCCTTTCATCAGTTAGCAACGACTCCAAGCAAATCGATAGTGATCGCCTTAACATTCCTCATACTGACATGGTTTGCTTTTTCTTCTGTTTTGTATAGTGATATATTGCGGATAAATATGGTTCGAAGTTTATGATTGTAATCGATTCATTTTATTGATTGGAAAATTGCCGTAGCCTTACTTCTAGTCTGTTTTCGTGAAAATGATTCCAAAGATTTCTATTTCCGGTTGATGGGAAATGAGTGGCTGTTTCGGCTCTCGAGGCCTCCAACCTATTCGACCACAAGTCAGCCTGAAGGAACAGTTTCGGATATATTTTTGATCCTCTCAGGCCACATGGTAGAAGGTAATGCTTCCAAGCTAATCCGAAATAAGCGAGGACGAGTGATTGAGCGTATGAGTTAGACATGAATAACAGAGACACAGAAGAGTTGACGTGTGTCATCCTAACAGTACTGTTTCAGGAGCCACTGAATTGGATGATCTCCAAGATGATGAGGAGATAGTAACGGTACTACTGAACAGGCCTGGGCCTTGGAGTGTGATCTACTATCGGGTACGTAAAAGATAAACACTACATTGAATAAAGAAGTGTTGGAGCTTTGGGATTGTACTAGAATTTATAACGATACTACATTATTATAGCAGCCAATATCTGTAATAGCAATCCAGTGCTCATGGTAGTGGACAAGGAATAGTATTCGTTCTTACTTGGGAAGATAAAATGTACGATTGGGGAGAACATCGTACAAGCTGCAGGAAAGTCGTAAAAATTAAAGGAGGAAGGGTTAGGGGTGAACTCACAGGGGGTCGTAGAGGATCTGTGCTGGCGTAATTCGTCGAAGGTGGCTTGATCCCAGGAGGATTCTCAGACTTTATCTTCACAATAAGTAGTAATTGCAGTTAGTTTTTCAGCCGGATCTGAATCGCCTCTTCGTGGGTCGAGACGTTTTTGGTCGGCTGAGCCTTGTGTGTGCTGCAGATGCTGATGACCTTGTTCTATCGGATGTCGTGCACAGCCTTCCCAAAGTACGTGTATTCTCAGGAAATTGACATAGAGACATCCTTTAAAGATGCAGTGTGCGGTTGTGGTGCGGTCAGTTTGACTGTGGACCTGCGACTTTTAATTTTTCCAGAATAAATTTTCCATTCAGTAAGAAATCTATGGCACCCAATAACTTGTCTCTACACAGGGAACATTCATTCTTTGCATGCAAAGAAAGTGAGTAGGGTGATCGATTTTATCTAGGTATGCTGGAACGAAGTACCTTATGCTCAAGTGTGTTGCATCAATACCGAAACTCGATGTGCTGTATCTACCTCTTATCTGCCTTCGTATCCAGAGAATATCTTGGAGCCATGGTCGGAGCTGTTTTCATCGTTTACACTGCGAAACTCTCCCTGTAAAGATGTTTTACTTAAGGTGGGTTCATTTGTTCGAACATATGACATTTTCCATGAAAATATGATATCTAGGTATCGAGGACGACCTGCGATTCGGCCCCGAATGTTCAAGAGGAATTTCTTGAAAGGCTGGTAGAAGCTACTCGTCAAATGGTTCCTCATGGTGCGTTTGGATTCGATTTGTCATGGAGTTGAAGTAGGAAAGGGTTGGAAACTGGGAAGGTACTTCTTGCTCCGTAAAATTTTTCTTCGTCGTTGACAAGTACGGACATATTTCAATATGCCGAGGTTTTGAATGTAGGTAGAGTATGTGGCTCAACTCAGTGTGGTCAAAGTAGATATTAGCAGGCAAGCGGTACTGTCTGTACTAGGCGCGGTAGGTCATAGTATAGTTGATTTGTATCTGGAGTCAGATGCAGAGGTTGGAGGGGGGGTACGGTAGGTTACGGTATAGCAAATGGGAGTTTGGATCGAGAAATGCATTATAGAGATGCTATTGGTTGATTACGGTATGACATACTTGAACGAGTTAAGGATAAGAGTGGGTTGGTTTATCACGGTGTGGCAGGGTTCAACCTGTGAAGTTGAAAGTACGGTAAGTTACGGTATCGACCTAGATTCATGCGTGGAAATTAGGAGTACGTTAGGTTACGGTGTAGCAAGTTGGAGCCTGTAGTTAAACATGCGTGGTCGATTCGTAGTTACGGTATGGCGAATTTGAATATGCCTAGGTAAGGGATACGGTAGGTTACAGTAGATTTGTAGGGTACGGTAGTTTACAGTATTGCTCTGGATACAAGTGGATGTTAGTTACGGTTGGTCGGTTACGGTATGGCAGCATTAAACCTCTTAGCTTCTGAGCTCAGGAGTACGGTAAGTTACGGTATTGATATGGAGAGGTTAGAAGTGGAATAGGTTACGGTATAGCAGACTGTATCCAGGCGTGCAGGTTGTGGGTGCGGTTGGCTCATTGCGGTATAGCATTTTAGGCCCTCTCTGAGATTTGCGGAAATCAGTGGTACGGTAGATTACAGTAATGCTCTGGAACCGAGTGGATGTTTGATGGTTCGGTTGATCGGTTACGGTATGTTAATTGAGTACGGTAAGGTAATTGAACGCCTTAGGTTTAGGTTCAGCAGTACGGTAAGTCACGGTATCGACCTGGACAAATGTGGAGGTTAGGAATGGGGTAGGTTATTGTGTATCAGATTGTATCTAAACGTGCAGGTGAGGGGTACAGTTGGTTGATTACGGTATGAGAGATTTGACCCCTTTTGACACTTGCGTAGATTAGTGGTACGGTAGATTACGGTATTGCTTGTATCTAAAGCAGAGGTTAGGGGTACGGTAGATTACGGTGTTGTTCTGCACCTAAGTGTAGAGGTTGGAGAAACGTTAGGATACGGTAGTGTAGGAGCTTTATTCTGATTTCAGGTGCTTACATTTGACTTCCCCTTTAAGACCCTTCAAAATCTTGGAAGGGAAGTGAAGTAATCATGACATTGAAATTGTGATTGAATTCTGATTAATATGGCTAACATGCTTTTCGCGATCTCTTAAGGAGACTATGAAGTCTGGGTTAGTCGTGTCTAAGTAGTCGGTGTGTTCCCTGCGTATCTTTGCTTTGCTTTTTGTAGTAAGTAAGGATGTTGTGTATACACAGAAGGAAATTGGGAGATCGACATTGCTCAGACGGGGCGAGCCTTTCATTCGTATGGTTTCGGACGGGCTTAATCGGTGCCAGATGTGGGAGGGTAAGAGCAATGACTTGTACATCGAATGGTCACCCTAAGTCATTGTATAGGCCACGAACACATTCATAACGAAGCCAGGATCCCTGGAGACCGAATACCGGGTTCATTGTGAGCATGGGATTGGTGCACGCCAAAGACTTCATCTTTGTCTTAATGAGTGGTTTATGTTGGAACTGCCACTCCTAGCCGGAAATCAGTTGGAATAAATTTTGAGACAACGAACCACTTCACCTTTTCATTCCTACTATTTGCTATTTATAGAGGTGTTTGAAGTCTTGAGGCCAGTGTAAAGCGTCTCTGTCCTCAGAACTACTGTGACAACCTTGTTTTGTATTCCAGTATCTGGCATAAGCAATAACTGAGCTTTTACTTCCTAATATTCACTATTTACCAGGCACCAACTCAGCAGCAGTCGCTTTTTCTGGAGGGATAGACAGCCTGTTAGTGGCAATCTCGCTGCATGAAGCCTATCCTTCTGAACGTAGCATCGATCTTGTCAATGTAGCATTTCTTCGAGGGTCCAAGGTAAATAATGCTCATTCTGAATATTTCTTTCGTCGTGCTTACATTTATTTTTTTTTACTATTCCATATAGTTTGAATTTTTATACACTTTGACCTTTTTGTCTGGTCTTTTCAATGGTTTTGTGATATTTACTTTAAGATTTTTTCAAATTTTACTTCTGATCAATTGTATTTGTTCTATGAGTTTCCCTTCACAAACTCTGCATGAAATTTGGCAGCCTAGCTTTCTGTAAAAAGCTCAGAATACTACGGAAATCCTCCCACTGGGCCGAGCTACGCTCACAAGGGTCGAATGCTTCCACTAAACTTATGTTTGGACTTTCAGGAACCGCTACATACACAAATAAATCTGTATAGATTAGAATTTGGTTTCTGTTTCTAGCATCGCTCTATCGTTACGGATCGACAGCGAGCTACCACTGGTCTACAGTTCCTCCGATCCAAATTTCCTTGTAGATATTGGCGCTTAATTCTTGTCGATGTTACCTTGGAGGAGCTAGAGGCAAACAGATCGAAACACGTTGTCAAAGTGAGCGAATAACTGCAGTTTTTGAGTAAGAGGCCGTTCAAGTATCTCATGGGCTTTTGCGATTCCATCTGTTAAGGCAGCTGCTCCTGCACTTTCCGTGTTGGACGAGTCCCTGGCCTGCGTGTTGTGGTTTGCTCTTCGAGGAGTTGGCAAGGATTACGATAATGGCGATGAAGTTCGGTGAGATTTCTAAATCTAGAAATTCGGAAGCCTGAGCTTAATGCTTCTCAATGGTTATCCTCTCTTGAAAGGTTATGTTACAGGTCTGATGCAAAGGTATATTTCGTTGGTAGCGGTGCTGACGAGTTGTTTGCCGGCTATGCTCGTCATCGGACACGATTTGAGCGCGATGGGGCTGAATCTATCCCAGAGGTGCAGGGTTTGAGTTGCTGAACATTAAGAATCAAAAAAGCTCCCGTAGAAGTCGAAGTTTTTACGTTGCTGCAGAACGACCCTCTTGTTGCACTGTTGACATGCAACCCTATTGAAACAGCTCTACTCCCAAGAAGGCTAGCGGTTGTGTCTATGCTGTTGCAGGAATGTGAAGCGGAACTGCGTCGGCTAGGTAGTCGCAATGGTGGACGAGATGCACGAGTGGCTGCCGTCTTGAATAAGGAGCTAAGGTAAGGTATCTGTTTACACAGATATCGTCTAGACAAGAAGTGATGCTCGTGAATTATCTATACGGATACCCTCTTTAACCTCTACCTTTCAAAAGATGAAGGTTCTGTAATCGTAGTATTCATCAGGATTGTTCCAGGGCACCGTTTCTGCATGACGACTTTGTGGCCTGGGTGAATACGGTACCTGCACATCTGAAATGGGACCTGTCACTACCGCGGGGTGTTGGAGAAAAGATGATTATAAGACAGGTATATTTTTCCGAAGATGGGTTGTGGTCAAAGAATTCGCCGGAGTTCACCTTCTTCGAATTCAGTCGAAAACTTCCACTAGCAAATAAAACTGAATACCATTAATCGATTTCTCTGTAAAGTTGTAGTGGCTAGAGCAAAGAAGTTTTACCAGCATATTATATCGAACAAATTATTAATAAGTAGTCAATTTGCCAATAAATCAGAGCAAATTGCCAGTTGTTTCAGGTTCTAGCTTCCTTGGGAGCCCCACATGACGCCCCAAAACAAGCTATGCAGTTTGGATCGGGGTTCGTTAAGATGCAGAACAATAAGATGCTAAAGGTGAGATTTTCGTTCGGTGAGCAACCGTTGCGATCGAATTTCGAAGACGATTTCACTTGGAATCACTTGTATAGGTATTAAACTATCTATAGTATCTTAAAAGTTCAGTAGCTTCTCTGAAATGCGCCATGCATTCGAGCGCTGCTATTAAATGCCTATGGGGCTGAATAGTAGTTCGGTAGAAAGCGAAAGGAAGAAGTCTAGCAGCCATTTAGCAAGCTGCGTTTTTGACTTTGCGGTCGAGAACGATGACACGTAGGGGAGTGTGGTAGAAACGGGACACTTCGGCGGATGAATAGGATTTAGGTTCTGTGTACGAGCTTCCTCTTAATGGGGTTGAGAAGTCTAACTGGATTAGGCTTCATCAGAAGAGGAAAAACAGAAAAAGGAGAGGAGTGAGGAGTTAAAGAGATTTGCTTTTAGGGTAGCGACGTTTCTCATCATCTTTTGGCTCCGGCTTCTGATGATCTCTAGCACCTTACTAGTATGTGATTTAATTCTTTTAATACCATCATTATTTAGATTTTATTAACGTAAATTGGCAACTCACCTCAATTCACTCACTGATTGATTATGAGTGACCTTTTCAAGCTATTCTGAGCGTTGTTATAATTATTTGTTATTGTTATTTTATTGTTATTGACGTTAAAATAGCATTTTGTTGCTAATTCACAACACAGTAGAACACAGGTGTGAGGTCCTGATGGTTGGAAGAGGATCGAAAGTGTAGCGTAACGACATCCTTCTGCTTATCGATTCCTTTCCGGGTAAACGGTAGCAGGGAAGCAAGCGAGGTTTCCCGCCATTCATTGTATAAAGAATGATTAGTAATTCCACCTGCTTACGCAGTAAGCCGCAGAGTTCCACAGACTGATAGCGGAGCGGATCTTCTACCGGTGGGGTCATCACTCATTTACCTACCTCATCTGTTCGAGTGTGGTCTTCGTTTCGTCGATCTCTGGTCTTCACTGTAAGGTTCGTACTTACAATCCGTTTTCGACGATAAATCGCATTACCAACACCTTGTTCAAGACAAGACAGCTACAGTTCTCTCGAAAAGGGGCACGAACATGTCTCACAGACTTCTGGTTGTATTACTCGGACACTTCCAATGACGCGCACGGAGTGCGGCAAACTCGCGCGACTAGAAGCCAATCCTAGTAGTCGCCTATCGTTTGAAAGAATGACAGAGAAATAGTATCTCGTTCTTCTCTCAGGATTCACTCCATTGCTGACCAATGTTCACCTGAGTTCCCCCGAGTCATAGAGAAGACAGGGAAGGTCATCCGATCAATTTGTATCAAAACCATTTCGTGATCAAACTGATTCCTCAATCCATAGAAGATGTGTAACTTTTCCATAACACGCACAACCTGCTTCTCCGAGCGATACGAGGCGAATGGTTCGAAACCGTACAAGGATTATGATAATTGATTCTGCCTTTGTGATTCCGCCTTCACTCCTGAGCTCCACCTACTGATGTGCGTTCCTCGAGATGGTTGCTGATTCTAATCAGTTCTCCTTTGCATGGACAAGTACAAAAACAATGCAGCCACAAGGGTGCTATTTGGAGCCGACGTCACTCCTGTCATTCGAGGAGAACATTTGATGTGGCTAGCGCGTAAAATCAATACCTGATTCGAGCTAGCGAACTGAATGAAGGATTCAGAGTTGGCCTAACTATTAAACTATTGGTAAGTCACCTGCAGGCAACAAAGATACGTAGTTTCAGGTACCAGACCCAGAATGGGAGTTTTCAAATTGCAAACGAAAACAAAAGGTGACGCAAAAAAAGGGTCGACATCACCAGTTAAAAAGAGCAAAGAAGGGACCGGTTCAAAAGAAAAGATCTCATCTAATGAAGCGGTGAAGAAAGATACACCGGCCAGCAAGGAGAAGCTAACGAAAGAGAAGAAAGCTACGGTGGGTCAGAAACCTGAGGCTAAGCCAGTGGCAAAAGAAACAGGAAATGAACAACAGTTGAAGGTAGAAAGTAAGGAAAAAACAGATGAAGGCAAAGAAGATATCAAAGCCAGAGGTAAAACAAGTGCAGCGAAAGCTAAAGTGAGCAAGTTAGCTCGAAAGACAGAAGAAGGTGGAAGTAAGGAAAAAGTGGAAAGGAAAGTTGGTAGTAAAGATGACAGCAAAGTCAAAGCTAGGGCTAGTGGTTCGAAAGAGAGAATAAGTAAGGTAGTTGTGAAGTCAGATGATAAGTCGGATGAGAAGGCTGGTGGAAACGAACAGCAACCGAAGGTCGGAAGCAAGGAATCAATCGTGAAAAAGAAAGAAGTCAAAGAGAAGGAGGAAAAGAAATTGGCAACCAAAGAGGGGATGGGGAGTAAGGAGAAGGTTGTAGGAGGAGGAGAAAAGAAGGAAGAGATCGAAGGCAAGGAGACGAAGCCAAAAGACGAGAAGGAAATGGGTAAGTGGTTTTTCACCATCACTGAACTTGAAATGGAAGAACTTGATTCTTACTTATGGATACGGTAGAAGATTGCCAACTGAACTTTTAATTCCCCGAGCATGTCCGTGAGTGCACTCTGTGAAAGACTTCTGAATAACCTCTCTCAGAAGGTCCAGTACTACTCTACCACCTGAATTCAACCCTCTATCGGGCTTATATGTTAATATGGAAATTGGATTGAACAATTGAAGAAAGTTGTCGTTTCTTTTACAGCACCTTCACCTTCACGCAGAAAACCGCATCTTCTAAAAGAAGGGCAAATGTTGCTGGATAAGTTCAGAGTTGAAGGCCTATTAGCGGATGGGGGTTTCGCTCAAATTTATGCGTAAGTCTTAGTCGTGGCTAGTACATTCCTGATAGATGAATAATTATCTGAGCCGTGGCGTAAATAATTATGTAAAAAAAGTAAAAACAAGTGAAAAATAAACGATTAGTATTGGAGCAATTCGGCGTTACTGTTTGTTTTACAGGGCTGTTCACGAGGAATCCCAGACGCGATGGGCCGTGAAAATTGAATCGGAGAAGTGCGACCGTAAACGCATGAAACTGGAGATTATGGTACTAATGCTGCTCCGAGGAAAGGTACACATGGTCCCTGCATATCTTCTGGGGAGATAGGTCGACGCCCAACGCTTCCGACGATTTGCAGGCAAATATACCGGAAATCATGGCAATGGGTACATGTCCTACGGGTCATTTCATCATTTTGGAGTTGGTGGGGAGAAATCTTAGCGACCTTCGTCGCCAGTTACCGCAACGAAAGCTTTCACCTGGTTCGCTCTACAGAGCTATGCTACAGGTAAGAATAACCAGAAAGTACCCACCTGCTATCAGTTACTCTATCCTTCGTCGTTGAGGTAACTCACGCGCTCTCCCTCGTTCACGCTATCGGCTTCCTCCATCGTGATCTGAAGCCGTCAAACTGTTGCGTGGGCGTTGATGACCTAACAAGGATCTATCTGCTCGATTACGGTATGAGTATAGTTACAGTCACGGATTCCACCGTGAAATCTGTTTTCTCTAGGTCTCACTCGGCAATACGTCAACGCTATGGGTCAGATTCGAAAGCCTCGTGAGAGTATCGGAATGCGTGGAACGCTACGTTACGTTAGCCTTCAAGCCCATGACAGACGTGATCTCGGACCAAGTCATGACCTCGTGGCTCTCCTGTACTCCATAGTAAGTGCATGCGCTAAATATATAAGCGACTAATGAATACCCTCAATCATACCTCAGTATTCCGATAAGGGCCCATGCCCTTATCGGAATTTTCGGGAGCCCGACTTAATGGAACGGAGAGAAAGAAGAATTTTTCCTTACTTCTCGCCTCGCACCTCACCTAACTTTCGCGGATGCACCTATGTATGAATATAACAACTTTCCAGATCGAACTCGGAGACGGATCCCTACCGTGGAGTAAAATGAGAGAGGAGACGGCCATCAGAGCCAGTAAACAGGAAACAACCATCGACAAGCTGTGTGAGAAACAACCAAAAATGCTCAAAATGGCAGAGGTTTGTGTCAGCTTTTTTATTTATCTATTTGGACAAGGCAAGTTGGGAAGGACTTAAGGCGAGAGGCACAACGAACGGTCAGTTTTTACTACCACATGCTCAACACCTACATGCGTGTAAATATAACTCACGAAGCACAACAGAAATAGCTTTTCCCTGAGCTCTAAGGAGTTTTCCGGGTACGAAGACCAGAAATGAAGTACCCTTTAATGGGAATCGAATAAATGAAGATGGATGGCAGGAGGGAACGAATTGAGAGAGATCGCGGTGGCGTACTGTCAGGCTCATGCTCTGATTTGTTGTCATCTCCGTGCCTTACGGTTTTGATCGTTGTCTTGTGGTGGCCACCGCAAGTCATTGTATAGGCCACATACGCACTCATTACGCCACTACGATTCTGAATGGAAGTCGAGTGCGGGGGCGCATCCCTCAGACGGGAATGATTAACGCCTGAAACTTTATCCTTTTATCCTTTATTTATGGAGTGAGCTTGCCGTTGATGAGACGTTTGCAATAATTCTTGAAGCTACCTTAAGAGTCAAAATTGACATAGCAGAGAAAGATTATTGCCGTTTCCTAATACAGACTATTATATTAAAGTGCTGGAGTGAACTCCCAATTATAGTGGTTCCGGCCATCACTCTGGCTCGACAGGCAACCACGCTCGGTTGAATTCGAAAGGGTGGGAAGCGGAAGATACCTTAAGTGGATCTGATTGATCAGGTGGTGAGAAATAGCGCTTACATCAGACGCTATGCTCGAGCGTCAAACATCGCCACCCTAAATGTTCCCTGCGATCGGACAGCTTTTATGGATCAAGTAACTCTTCCAGCAGATGACTGAGGTTGCCTTGTTCAGTATATCCTTTCGATGAAATACGAAACCATGCCAGACTATGACAAGCTAACAAAAATGCTGGAAAGCTGTATTCCGCCTGAAGTAAAAGCCAACGATCCATACGACTGGCAGACAACACCGTATGTTTCAAGCTTTTGACGAATATTCCTTAGAAACTGTGTAGCGCAGATGGAGCACTGCTAGAAGGAGCCGCCTTCCATTGTGGAGAACCTGCCCCTGGGTTTGGTACGTTACCATAGGTAGGTAGTGGACCCTTTGGAAGGATGAGTGCACGCTCCCTTGTAGAAAGCAGGGGTGTGGCGCATTCCAAAAAAACTTTCTCATCTCTTTCTATGGGTTGCTGGTGGTAACTGATTGTAAGATGGCCAAAAATCCTGCAAAGTATAATTAGCGGCGGGCGCGGGGAAAGGCACAGGAAACCCATCAGTTGAATTCAGCTCACCCCAATTCTGGCTGTATCATAAGTCCATGGCGTTTACTCGAAAGGGAATGATTGACGCTCCATACCCCTCTTGTTCGTCTGAAGAAGCGGTCCTTTGATTCTCTTCTTTATTAGCTGCCAGCTGGTTCATTTTATAAAGCCAGAGAAGAACTCGGAACAGCTGCCCCCAGCTGGCGCTAAGGTATGTTTTTAACCTTAACAACTATATTTATGAAATTATTAATCAAGATTCAGAGAAGTTCTACGCAGCCTGCATTGCCCGAAAGTGACTTAGAGAAGGAGAAAATGAAGCTATCAGCTCTCAAAGTGAAAGAAGAAAATTGAAGGCGCAGTTGTTATTTGTAACGAATATAAAGCAACATGCTAACGTTTTTTATTTTTAAAAATAAACGTTGCTGGTTTTTCATTGTCGGAACACTAGTTAAAATTTCAGATAAAAATGATTAGTTTGAAGAGTTAGGGGATCAGGCGGAGGTGAAAGCTGGCTAGGGCGACAGGTCATGGACTAGAATCACGCCTGGAAAGTGTGAATCCCGCATTCGGATGGTCCGTTAATAACAAAATAGTTCACCAAAAAAAACCACGTAAAGGAGCCTGACTGGGTGTGTGTTGGGTGCTGCTCAGAGATCTACTTTGCCCTGTTCACAACTTGGAAGTTTCGATATGAAGGTTTCCTATAATCCTTTGGTATGACATGATAGTGATATTGGTTAGCTCCTACAAGTCATTGGCGTGACTAAGCATTCAATCATTCCCTGGGATATTCAACAAGGGATTCGAATTCATGGCGTATTCTCTTATAAGTGACCGGCGTCTGATGCTGATCGACTTAACATTGGACATTCGAGTTGGTTTGTTTACATAGAGGTGATACAGCAAACAGGAGCTATCTGAAGGGAATTGCAGAAGAGGTGGTGCAGTGGTCTCATCACGATCGTGCCGTTCTTGGAATCAGGTCCCGGGTAAGTGTACCATGGTCCCCATCACTTTCAAGTCGATTAGTTGTAGTCTTTCCTGTTCCACATCAGCAGGTCGTTCTGGACTTAGAATGTCGGCTGAATGGAAGTTTTTTTGTTTGCTCCTCATCTCTCTGGAATGTATGTTGGTTCTATTGAACCAGAAAAGTGATCAGCTGAACTTTCGTGGTCTCATAGTCTTGCGACGTTATTTGAAGGCCATTTCTGGGCCAGTGAAATAGCTACGCCTTCATTTGATTTCGAAGGTTTTTTTTCGGCTTTGGCGTCCATTTCTAAATTGATTTACAGCAGAAACTCTGCCTTGAAACTCATTTCTCTTCCATACTGATGGCTGAGTCCAGCCCGTTCTTTCAAAAGCTTCACCCAGCTGAAATGATGATTTTGCTTACAGCAGTTCTTTTTTTTTTGGAAGCTCATCCTTTTCTTGTAAATAATTCCACTATTAGAACATTGCAATATTTTCATTAACAACATATAATTGAGTGAGACTGGTAGTCAACAAATATGATCGATGACATACATTTACGTGGATGTTATGCCAATTTCGCTATTTCTGCTCGTCCTATACTGTTGGACGCGCCCAGTTTGAGGGATTGTAGGGATCCGTCTTGGCTGAGAGCATACCAGTAAGAGGGAGATAGGTGGTGAATTCTTTGGCGCCAGGGAGGACTCCATTTGATTTTATGTCTCCATAGATCGCCACCGTCGGGCTTTTCATCTGATGGGAGCTGACTCTCCGGACGATTTCGTATTACCTACATACTCACCGTACTAAGGCTGCTTTGGCGTCATACCGTACTAAGGCTGTTTTGGCGAACCAAATTACTTCCAAATTGGGAAATTTTTTGATTGTTTTGGATTACCAAATTCGATAATACAAAATTCATTTCTAGCTGATATGAATTTGACTCTTTTTATTTTCAACTGATATAAATTTGGCTCTAATGGTTGATTATATTTATTGGAAATTTGATGTTAATGTACGATTTGAGTCTTGGTTCAAACTTCATGAGGAGCCTTAGTGATCGCTGTAGAAAAAGTGGTCCGTTTTTGATTGAGGTTATGGACTAAGTCCTCTGCATTCCGTCCTTCTGAGAATGAGCGGAAGGAACTGTCATTCATTCAGCCTTTATTATTGGAAATACTTCCAAGAATTCTGCCTGGAAAAAACGTTTTCAGAACGGTTGTTATGGGCTATTACCTCGAAAATTCCATCTATGCGAAAATTATGGGTCCTTTTTCCCAACATTCCCAATTCTTTTGCACTCCCTTCTGTCAAAGTTATGATTCTACCGTTCCGGAAGCTTAAAATTGTTCAAAATTTTGAGACGTGTGGTACAATGTCCAGGATACGCCACGTGTTTTTGTTCTGCTAGAAATTTCTATAGGCAGAGCTGTGCATTGAGGATTATCCCATGGGAACACCAATATTAGGCCCGTCGGTAGAGTCTTCTGGAGGACTGGGTCAGCACTCGAGAATCCGTGAGGGGGGAGGAGCAGCTCATGTCTTATCTAGGACTGGGATGTGACAATTTTAAGAAAAGTAAATTTTGGTTGCTCAGATTTATCTTGGGTGGTTTCTTCGAGAGAAGTTCGCTAAATCCTCTATAATTTCCCCTATTGGCTTCAACCTTCCTCAGAACCCCGCTCGGGAATGTTTCTTAGCCGAGATCAAACAGTTTTTTGTGCTGAGCTTCAGGAGGGAGTGAGCACCGGGGTGGGAACTACCATTTTATAAACTGTTCAACTCATACCCAATCCTAGAGTTAAGGTCGGCTACTCATCCTTCTTCACACTAAAGTACTCATTGTTGAAGGAAGCCTTCTCCTCCTCCCCCAGTAGGTACATCATTTTCTAACCATTCTTTGAAGGAAGGAATAAAGTCCGGCGTAAGCTGGGCGACCCGTCTGGTGAGGTATATATTATAGTAATGGTTGAATATGAATAGGCTATTACGGAACCTGCTATTGTCTCGATGACTCACAACCACCTAC